CTAGCTCGCACGATGAACAGATTTATATATATATATCCGAGTGAAGACTAATCTGTTATACAGCTTATAAGAATAGTTAACGTATTTATAGGACAAGTTATATATTAATGTAACAGAAATCATTTTTAAATAAAATCCATGCTTTACCTTTAAGCGTACGAATAAAGTGATGCTTTTAAGATCGGGGATATCTGCGAACAGAGTTACAAAGTAAATTTTGGCACATTTTGAGTTACAAAGGACATTTTGGCGAAATTCGGTACGGCGGAACTCTTGCGATCCGTTCAATGTGGGGCTGATATGCCAAGAAAAAGGGTGTCGTGCATAAAGTTGATGAATTGTATCAGAACATTTTATTAGGGTGTTAACTTGATTATAGCGTAGAAGAATGGAGGGCACGTCAACCTGAATTTACTATCATCTCGTTTCGTCACGTTGCACTTATACATCTTGGTCCAGCAGACACGGTTTGTCTATCGTTATCAATGTGCCTGTGCATGTGTAACCAAAGCCTAGGGCATCGCTGGCGCAAGCCTAGGACACGTGAGCTGAGAACCAACATGACTCAACAACGGACTCGCTTATAAACGTCTGCTATAGAGAGTTGAACGACACTGTAAGGGGAACGCGTCCAACCTGGTTCTAAAGACCTGACTTGTTTGGCTGTATGAACTGATATTAGTGTATTGTGATGAGTTAGACAGAGGCGCTCATACGGTCACGCGACCCAAAGCAGCTTTTAACTAGATCTGCCAACGGTTTCAATTAGAGAGACTTTAACAGAGGTAGCGGTTTCTTCCTGTTAGCAAGAAAGAAACAAATTGACTCATTACAATCTCATACGCTATGATAAATGGTCGAGTTGTAGGTGTTGCATGTAAATGTCTACGTTTCGTCATTCAGATGCCTGTGAATACGTGTATAGTCTTGCTTACATCATGAGATCATCATTAATCGTGAAAAGCCTGGTTAGCTAACTTCGAAAACGATCACGGCGTTACCATATAAGAGAGTGACCATTTGATGTATTATTTAGAATTTCGTCTGCAAGAGGCTGACCATCGCCAGTAGCTTATCGCCATATTGTGTTGTAAAGCCTATAGAGCTTCGTTGGATTCGTTTGCAAGTAGTTGTTTATGTCTCGTCAAAAGCATCTGCCTTATGGTTTCGGAAAGAGGCCATTACGATGCTGATAAACTAACGTAGTCCTATAGCGCCCAACAAAACCATGTGGCTATAGAAGCATTAAGCGTCCTGTTTGAAAGGAATTACCGTAGAAAGAAGTACGTAGTCGTGTCATTTTTTTGTAAGCTCACTATTTAATGATTTTAAGTGGCAATTATTCTTTCATGTAAAAGAATCGCTTGATTTCAACAAGCCCCTGTCTTGTGGCTTGTGGCTGGATTTGATAATGACCTCCACATGCGGGGGAAGCTCAACTCAAAAAATCTAAGCTGACCGTCCCGTTCCGAAATATTCTGTGGATTCACCGATTGATCTTTGAAGTACAAGTAACACTACTCAATAATATCCTAAATTAGACTTAGGGTGAAATTCAAATTCGTTATATTCTATACCGTAAAAGCTAACTGTCTCACAGAGTCGTACATTGATCTGAGTTGGCTTTGGTTTCTTCCAGGAAGTCTGTTTTCTTTGTTCATCGCAATTGCCTTGTTTAGATATGTCGGTTTGTATTCAAGCTCACAGAAGCTGTAAATCGACTCTGTTTGTTGTGTGAGATTTTCACTGTTTGTTGTGACTGAACGTTAGAACGGAAATAGATGCCGTAATACGAAACTTTTCGCCAATGCGAGGAAGTATTTTTATGCATGGACTAAGAACAAACATCATTGAAGCCTAGAACTAATATAAATCCTAAACGGGAAACCTTTTCTTCGGTAGTAATGACGAGGAAACATATTTGTGCACAAATAGAATCAAGTCGAAGAAGAACAATTGACTATATGCATAATAAAGGACAGTTATACCTTACTCATACAGTTATTCGTACATAGAGTTTGCTTGCAAGAGATGCGTTACTACACATGCTAATTGGTCCGTAGTAACGTCTTCTATGTTTTTACGCGTCTGGTGCGTTCGAAGGAGTTCCAAATACTTTGCGAGGTCCTGACGCCTCCAGGATCAGTCTAAAGGATGATTTGAATCGTGGCATTATTCAAAGTGCGCCGACGTTTAATGCCATTGACTCATCGACTGGATCCAAAAATACACTGCTTACTATGCGAGCTCGTTAAGGGGATATATCAGTTCTGCAGCTTCATCCAGAGGTCTGACCAGCAGGTCCCTGCGCGTATGGACAAAAAATGCAAAGCCTTCGCAGTAGCACGGCGCCAATGTAGGGGTTCGTCACGCCGATTTCCCGCCACTCCTGCACTCCTTCGATCACTTAATGTAAAACGCATACACCGACCAATCTTCAGTAGATGTATTAATATACGCAACTCTAGCGTATTACGAGAGATGATGCGTTCACATCTCGGGGTGGCACATGGAACTTTTACCTACTAGGCAACAGCAGGCCTGGTGAAAAACAAAATGGCCGCATTATGTCCCTTATATGACACGTACACAGTCCCGAACGCGAGTGCCTCTTTTCAAATGAATACGTTAAAACAACCTCCGTCACCCCTTACAGACTTTTCAAGGAATGATCCCAATTGCAAGTTACAGAAGTATTTATGGCAACACTGACGTGAAAGCAATAATAACAGACCCAGCACATTCTTATCTTAAGCAGCTATCGACGGGTCCCTCTTGAAGTATGCAAAATGCAATTATCTCGTGCTAAATATTCGTCATTAATCGAACGGAGTTCAATGTAGCGTCTGGCTTCCAAGTATCTACTAGATAGGTCGTACCGTCCTAAGGCCCATGCTTAGGCCAATTACCGTGTGTGTGTGTGTGTGTTATTAGCATTTGGCGTTCGTGTGAGTCTATGACAATTTAGAATCGCATAGAACATGCACACCGGCGATGTGGCGCTTCACACGCAACGAACGTGATCAGGGCTCTATGTGAAAACTGCCGGTAATTCCATGAGTGCATGATGCAATTTATTACCGATGATATGCTACATGATGTCTTTTAGTGAATACATTCCTCCTCTATTAGCGAAAAGTTCATCTAATTACTTTATTTGTTAGAACTTAAAAATCTCGGAATCGCATGGCCGTCCCTTTAGTTTGTTTCTGCTCGATAGATTCGCAAAACGGCTAGCATATAAATGTGATAGTATACAATCTGGTATCACATTATTCAATAGAGAAGATCGTGACGAAATTCTGATAAAAAAAAAATGCACTAACATACCACGGAAGGGTCGCTGACTCCTCTATAATGAAGCCTAACATCCTTTCGAAGATGGGTTGCGTCAAATCTTAGGAAAGAGCCTACACGGCTATTAATATCGTCTATTTGGCATTGTAAATAGCCTTATACCTATGGAAGGACGCAGACATTATTGAGCTACGTAGAATAATGTCGACATTTAATATGTTCATTTAAAACACATTATCTACAAAATATTATACTGCCTATAAAGATTTCATTACTGAACTCAATTATAATATCTATAATAACAAATATACTATAACACTAGTTGCACCTCTTTTGATTTAACATAGCTCCATTAAGCCTAAAATAAGTGCCGACTTGTGTTACACTTGACGGACCCGTGAACTTCGTCGCGCGTCCTTTTTTGATGTGACTAATTTCTCTCCCCTAGCAGTAGTTTGTAGTTTTCCGTATTGTTATCGATATCACATCACTAATAACGCCATTATACTATATCTGCTATATCTAAACATGACTGCTTGTGTCTCGAATAAGGGTTTTCGGACTTCATTAATTTTCTAGTCGATTAATTTCAGTGCTTTAGTTTATTAAAACTAAACACTTTGTCTAATTGTCGAATTGTACCCCGGCCAAACCCAACGGCTGTTTACCCAACCCAGGTTCGAACGCAGATCTTTGGTCGCCTTCGGTAGTTGCGCTAACCAGATAGTAATATAAACACCAGTTTAGACGTCCGACGTCTAAAGCTATCCTATCACACAAAGCGTCGTAACACAGTTCGAATGCAGGGTTTTGCATGATATCCGGAATCCCAGAGTCAAAAAGCATAAAATCTGATAGCGTATAATGCAGGATAGTTGAACACCGTTCAAGCTTTTTTTTTTTTGACACTTTACCCTAAACCGTGTCCGTTTGGCATCTTGGCCGATCTACGAATGCTAATGTGACGTCGTGCTATCATTCGGTGAAACTCGTGAACTTGACAAAACATCAACTACTGCATCTTCCATTCTTTTTAATGAAATCATCAATTTTGTCTTTAGGTTGTACGCTCCAAACAGATACATTTAAATAGAACGCAGGATTACATTGCTTTTATTTTGATATCAATATTATGTGATTAACGTTACTTTCAGGCAGAACGAACCCAACAATTAGCTCAGGCAAGTAGTCCAATGATAAAATGTTACCTGCTGCGAATAAATCGGTCCAAAGCGATTACTTTGCGAGGGCAATTCGGGATGTTACAGGCGGTACATTTTTACAATACGATTGATAGATCATGGCGCCGATAATGCCCATGACGATTATTATGCCCCTACATGTACGAACTTTGTATTACAGCTTTTCTTATTTGCTGGTATGTTTTTTTGTCATTAGCGAACTGAAAAATATATTTTGGTACACTGTTAAGCCCAATTAAGCCTCCATCCGCTTACTTCTCTATTCCATCCAGGCGCAACTTTCGTCTTTGTAACTTTCATGCTGGCACGTTTGACTTTTAACATCTTCATTTCTTTTTTTTATTTACTCGAGTATATTACACGTGGAAATCATTAGCAACTTATATTAATATAACTCGTTACTACGATGGTTAGCACAAAATTCGAAATGGCCATCTCTTTCCACGTGCAAAAATACTATGCCGATTCAAAAAATTGGCGCCAAATCATTCCAGATTGTAGTTCACTTCCAGAATTCTTATTCGAAGTGCAGATAAGGAAGGCTTAAACGTTTCTACGACACTACATTTCGGCTGACTCGATTTACGGGTGTGTAATATTTGAAACACGCTTTGTTTATTCATGTGAGATGATGCGAAGTGTCTATTTTACAGAATCTCTATCTACGTTGAGGAACTTGCACATAAGGGCTGGTTCTAGATCAGAGTTGTTTCATCCATGGTCGAACTGCCCTAAGATCTTTTACAATAGTTAGCCAAGGACCTTAGGCCTAGCTGATCGCAATAGATATACATTTATTTTTAGATAGGATTAGCATAGGAGGAAATATCAGACGACTCAAATCGCAAGCCACGTCTTAACCACTCCAAAGACGCGGCGTTACTTCGTGACAGTATGTCAGATGCTACATCTTCTACCCTCCGATAAAACTATTAATTCTATTTTAAATTTAGATTTTGCTTCTATTTTTTAGCGAAATAACAAAAGTGTTTTCTGCTTAGCAGACCATATTTTCAATTGACAGTGTCAATTCCGTACAGCGGCACCAAATCATAGCCTGTATACATTGCAGATTTGACGAATACGCGGTGTCGGTATGCTGCTATCTCAAGCGCCGATGGGCACTAAATTTGGTATCTAATTGCCGTCTATGGTCCAGGCAGCCTGTAAATTGTATAGCTCCGACGCTAAAACTGTGTGCTTCGAATTCTCCAACTCCATCTTCAACGTTACCAATCTCTCAGAATTGCGTTAACCTGTAGTACAAAACCACTTAAAAAGGTGACGGTAAGGGCTACCTAACGATCCCTGAAGATATAGAAGCTACTGAACAGTAAGCCCTTTAGGGTGACTGCGACATATTGCGATACTGACGCATAAAGAGAGGTAAGACACAATGGGATTACAAGATAAATCTTTTTAACACTTTGCTCATATTTTGAAATCACCTTGGTATAGGGTTAAAAATCTGCGTTTACTAGAGGATTTGGTTGGAATAGGAACCAGCGATGGCTGTATGTCCATGATTACCATGGCAACCAGAGGACGCCGCCCGACGGGATACATATAGGGTATGAATGTCGTTTAACAATAAGTCAAGGATTAGTGATATCAACGGAATAAACAGAAAGAAACCTCTATAAGAAAAAAAATTGCACATAGACTACTGTGTTCGCTTCAAGCGTGACAAGCAACGTTGGGACACAGCATGAAATCTTTCCCACCATTAAATGTTTAAGTATAAGCTAGATAAATGGCTCAAATCAAATTGGATTAAAACGCTTCAATGCAAGCATATCCGAAGTGGGATACAAGTGTCAGTCGTAAGAAAAAATACACGTTCGGATATTTATGATCCGTACAGGCTATAAAAAAGTGAACTCCTCGTTATTTCTTCACTTCCTCTCCTTTTCAGCATGTTTTATCTTATTACAATCTCCCGCTTAGTTTCAATATGCACAGTCCATATTTGCTACTTTCGTTACTATTAATAACATTACTGCCGTGCAAATTGCTATGAGATGGTTAGACGTAATCTCAGGACGTATTTCTGTGTATGTATACAAGCCTATAAAAGCACGACCACATGATCTGTACGTGCTGTATCGCTATAGAAAGGAAGCTTATTATAATTCGAACCCCCTGACAGCAGAAGAAATGATTTCAATAACAATTTTTCGATCCTGAGTCTTTGCAAAAAATTGCGACAGTCATTAAAGAGCTAGCAGCATTACTGTCTAGTAGATGAGCGCTCAGACCATCAATACCCGTCGAATCTCTGATAAAGATTTCAAATATATTCAATAGTTTTTATGTCTCTAGCCCAGTCTGTATATAAGGTGAACACAAAAACGATAATACATTGAATAGAATTTTTGTACAGTTTAAATTTGGATGATTTGAACACTTCGCAGATTAAGATATTCATAAGAAATGCTTTTCGTGGGAAATTAAGTAAATAAATAAATAAAATGAAATAGTATGGCAAGCATATGTTAAAGCAAAATGCAAATTTTTCTGCATGTCCAGACCCAAAAAGCTTTTCGACATTGTAGCTCGAACCCAATATAACACCGAATAATATGCAACTCGCTCTCGTTTAGCTAACACTTAGATATAACGAGGCGCTAAAAGTAACATCCATTGGCATAGGCCGTTCATAGATACTATTCGGAATATTGTTTACATGCAAACCAAGCTGCTCCGATGCCTCTAATAGACAAACGCATTTATTTTCAAAAAAAAAAAAAAAAAAAACAGGAGGAAGTTTGCTTCGGGCATTTAGTTTGTTACCTGGCGGAGTGTTGGCGGTGGAGGGTGTAGCAACCGCTGTCGAATCGTCTTTTCATACACGTACTTATTTCTGATGGGCCTGAAACCTTTTGTTTCAAGTTTTCCAGGAAAATTCTCTCTATCAAGAATACGTTCATGCAAAAAAAACGGACCCACTGTATATAATTATGGATGTATTCGCATAGTAAGATTAGTTGGTTAGCAGATGTCACAATCGTAGATGTCAGCAGAAACGAGCTGCCAATATATGCCGCAGGATGAATTACTACGACAAGGCGGCGGCGCATCGTGAACGAGTACGAGCCATTATTGAGCTCAGTGCGTTTCAACGTTGTATATATATATATATATATAGCAGTGATAATGGCATTGGTAGAGGGCGCTCGGTCCACCGTGAGGCTTTTCTTACACGCCACTTCTCTTGCTTCTGAGCCGCGGATGAAGCTTCAACAGCTTTCGCTAGTAATAGCGGGAAGCCTGGCAACCTTGGTCTGTTGCTGCCTTCTTCAAAAGACTACTCGGATGCCATGCTAATGACAGTATAATTGAAGACAAAATAAAAATATTTATTCTTTGTCTAATCGACTGGCCAAATATGGGCACATCATACTCCAGGATAAAACTCTACAAGGTCACATTAAAGTACCTACTCTATATAGGCCATTTTAAAGACACAGGCCAGTGAAGAGGCAAATGCTGGTTTTTAGTTATAACAATTTTGTTCTAAACAGGCCGGGTGGATCAAACTGCGACCTGAGAATGAGCTCCTTATTGCAGATTCTGGCCGATCTAGGACGTTTTTTTCACCTGATGGTGCGAGATCGTGGCTTTCTCTTATTGTTACTCTAAGGCCATGCCACAGTGCATGCATACAGTTATGTATCTTCTTATCCGGCAAAATAAGTTTTTCATTTGTTTTATGCAACATAACAAATGCTGCTCCATTTGTGTTTTTAAAATACCAGCTATATGTATCTATAATTAGCTGAGTGATTTGCACTATGTCCTAACGCTGATCCGGTATTTAATATTTCTCTAAGAAACACATTGTAACTTTGACAAAAAAATACATATTGTGTACGAACACAACAATCAGGCTCCTCTTTGATTCAAATACAATTTAATTTACCTCAGGCTCTTTTCGTGAAATCGTGTTTGGCATGTTTCTATTTGAGAACGTTTTTTTAGGTGTGAGTAGGACGATGCCTTCAAAATCTACGGCCAAGTGACACTGGATCACATTTTGAATACACATATTAAAGTGGGTTTCTTGTATTGTTTACATCTGCTGAATCGATACTTAGATTACCTTAAGCACTAAGGATATGCAACCTTACGCATACTAGTGGAACTGGGCGTCCTGTAGTATAGAATGGAAGTAACCCTATGAAATACAAACAAAGATTAGGTTTCTTTCATTTCATATTTTAGCGTTCACTAACATTTCCCAAATGGCAGCCATTTTTGGTTGTAATGAAAGGAAACATTTCACTAAACGTCAAGACGTTTTCAGCTACTGAAAAAAAACTGACTGGCAAACCACACTTAATATCCTAGCAACAGTAAAAGTTTAATAAACACATCCATCCGATTACATTACGATAGAATTATTTGATTAGAGACTTCAAAACTATTCTACTAGTTGTTCGCGCTTCGGTGGAGCAGATTTGCCAATAATTATTTCAACAAGTTTCAGCAATGTACACGTACACTGCGTATGCCTCTAGCACACAACATCAATTAATATTGATACGCGTAGTCTATGCATGCACCCAAACATGTGTTTTGCCCCTCGTTTCAAAAGAATCACAATAAGTTCTTCGGTAAAGTCCACGAAAAGGAAGTTCTAATAGTACCGTTGTTGAATCCGTTGAACTGTTTGCATAGACATCGTAGTGGTCCGTCTGTCCCCATAGCAATCTGAGGTAATTATCGAAATTCAGGAATGCTCCTAAATCCAATGAGCTGTGTTTGTCGCTGCGACTTTGGAGGAATCGCTTAATATTTAAACTGTCAAAATCCAAAAAATAGGCTGGATCATTGCAGGTCACTTCCAGCGGGTGATTTAACTTGCGGTCCTAAGGCTATGACTAGCATAGCGTCAATGATGGAGCCTTGTGGGACGTTTTTCACGATCTCATTCTTATCTCTAGAAGTAACTACTTGGTCTACTCTGATTATTAGAACTTTAGCCACCATGTTTAATTCGATGACAATGCTTTTTGTCCTCGATTCTACTCGACACAGGCCTGCCGAGGTTCGCAGCTGTCTGCATTGTGGGTGTCCAATAATGGGTCCTGACCGTGAAACTCGAATTACTTATTGAATAAAGTATCAAATTTTGCCGTCAGCACCTATTTAGCAAGCTTAACGTTTACGACAACAGGAGCTGGAATCAGGTCTCGAGAAGTGTAGTAAATACTCTATGGTGCGTTACGTTTTTACATATCTGTTGCGCTGAATGTATATGCCTCACACGCCAGGCTGTGCGAGGAATTGTAGTATAAAGCGGCTTATGGGAAACTTAAACACCGAGCGATTTTCGCAATGTTCACTGCCATTGTGAGTCACGATCAATCGACATTGTGGCCGATTCGAGCTTTTCAAGCGAAACTACCATTCACCTGATGTCACTATACTACATTTTCATCACTGCTTTCGGCCGTGACATCCTTACGAATAAACATACGAACAGCTTCCCTTTGTTATGTAATTATCTTTTTTCCTGCACATCTCTTTACTAGGTAGCCGCCACCGATAACCATAATTGTGACGTAAGACCGTTACTTCCACTGATTTTCCTCCTGTAAACCGCAGTTCTCAAGGGACAAAACAATTCAAGCTAACAGCTGCATAATATGCCTTTGCTTTAAAATGTTCGCTTTAGATCATGTCATACGTATCATAGAAATAAATCGTCTCTACTTTCCTAGTCGATATTTTCTTTTCCACCGGGCTTTCTACGGTTACAGTCTGAATTATATTTGTTTTGGCTCATTCAGATCTCGGTCTGAACCTTGCGGAAAACTGTGCCGCCTATTCGTATCGTTAGATGTTTCATATATATATATATATATATATATATATATATATATATATATATATATATATATATATATATATATATATATATCTTTTATTTTCTGCAATCGCATAGTTGCTTATTTCATAAATATTTGATCCACGTCCTGGAGTGCTGTTCACTAGAAATTGCTCGCGTTTGGGTGTAGTAAAACTGCTGGCATTCTTATAAACGGCAACGGTAGACAAGAGGTTACTCCGTATTTAAATTATCGTTTATCTGGGCATATTCCATCTGAGTTCAAATCAGTTAGAGGATACCGCGGTTATAGAGCAGGCCGGTAGTCTCCCATTGATAGAGGGCATTAGCTGTTGCATTAGAATCTTTAGTTACTGTTGAGGTACTTAACATTAGTTTGATCTCAGGAGAAAATAATAGAGTATAGCAAAATATTTTTTTATTCATTTTCTGTGGATACATACTAAATATTTATCTGTTTGATCATCTATTTATTAAAGTGGCTTGAATGCGTATGATAGGACTAGAAAACGCACTTTTGTTTCAGCTGATTCATTCGTAATGCCTTGGACCTATTTTCAGACGTCTCTTCTCATCGTAACGTCTTTCCTTTCGACCTGGACTCCATATGCCGCTCTCTGCCTTTGGAGCGTCTTTTTCGGACCATCTACCGTACCTTCGTGGCTGATGATCGCTCCAAATATATGCGCAAAGGCCTCAGGTGCCTTAAATCCGTTTATTTACTCACTTAGTAATCGGTAATTATCGGTCTATAGAAGTAAGCATTGTATGAAAACGGTCTATCAGTCCACGCCGTGTATATAAGCTTAGATAGTTGGTCGACTTGTCTTTTTTCCTTCGAAAGCTCGCCATGCAATTGTCATGTTTTCTTTTTCATTGATGCCGCAGTCTGAAATCAATAGCGTTTAGTGTATTTAGCATGTTCTTTTGATAATTCTGCCGCGTGATTGACTTTAGTAGTGAGTTCAGTTGATTTTTTTTAGTACTCTGGATATCTATACAATGCTTTTAGGAAGATTAATTAAGGTATCTAATCCCTTGTAATTCGTGTGCGGTGTTATCTTATTACAGAAACCTTCGATCGGCTATTGCAGACACTATTCGGGCGGCAAAGGCTAGCCTATGCAGAGAGACAGGTCAGCCAGGCGACGTTCAGGACGAAACAACACAAATGGCTGAATGTACTGAATTGTCTTCGACTACTCCTGCGAGTCAGCGAGATAGTTTTATTAATATATAAACAATATGTTGATAAATAATTGAAACTAGCTGGCCTTCTAGGTCATTGCTAACGTAACCGCAGACTGTGAAGTATGATACAATACAAGTTACCTTTCTGGATCCTACGCAAAAAACCCTAAATGATTATTTCGCTTTTAAACGAATGTTAGCAAATATGGCCATTTTGTGCGTAGTACGGATCCAGGCCCATCCGAAGGAAGAATAAGAAAAGATTGCAACTGAGGCGGCCCAGTTACCTGAATAAACTAGACATTGTCTATTTCCCGTTGGAACGTCGTTTTAGTGATGCAAATTTAACCCAGATGAGCTATAGATGTGTTAGCTGATGTGGACATCTTTGGATGTGGGGGGGGGGGGTGATGTGCCATAAGATGTAAATAAACAATTCTCAAATCACGGTACACTACCTTTGAAACGTTTTTCATAGAAAAGTCACATCAGTATTTTTAGTTAATAGATGAAAATTAATTTTGCTACACTTAATTTTTCATGCATGTTTTAACACAACACACGAGTTTACCTGTTCTACCTGAACAGAAATAAATAAACATCAGTAACACTTAAAGATCTTAAAATCAATTGAAGAGGTTGAACAACTTTTCTCAATACGAAAGGGACCAAGGGGAATGAACCCTTAGTGGAGAGATTAGTGCTCTCGCCAAACTTACCATGCAAGTCTATATGTATTATAGAAATGTTTAGTTTAACTGACGTTAAATAAATTTGAGACATTCAAATTAGTTAGAAAATAGGTTCCTTTAAAATTCAATAATATAATTTCAAATATGATATTTTAAATAATAAAATAGACGGAAATTTTCATGGATTGACTGGAAAACTACGAACATTTTTTCAGAGGTGAATCCGAAAATTGGTTGTCTATTACGGAGAAAACAAAGACAATGTCTATTGAAACGAGTAGGTACTGCAAAATGTTATTACTTCAAACTGCATTTAAACTTGCCTTTTATAGCAAGAGACCTCGGCCAGGTTTGGGTCTATCTTATAGACCTTCCAGATATTGTGCTATAGCCAGCATGCAGATTAAGGCTCCCTACAGGTCGGGCCGCAAGATCAGGGAATGTGTCTCGAACGAAAAATTAAGTTATGGCGTTACTTGTGCTAGCCCTTGTTATATGATTGCTTTTGTGGATTATCATACCAGTAGTATATCCATATGTATACGTCTAAATAAACATTTGATTATTGTCAATAAAACCGGTTTTTATTTAAAAGTGTTTACATTAGTTTACAAACCTAGAATTTTCTTTAGCCCGTATCCGTCCACAGCAGCACCAACTTAAACGGTCTATTTGGTTAGGTGTTAATTTACGCAGTGAAGCATAATGAAACCTGCGGTTCCGTAACGCCAGCGCCAGCAGCAGATTTACCATTGAGATCAAGAATAAAGCTATGAAAAGGAAAAAAAGCGGCAAAAGCAGGCCACATTTTACATGTCGGTTGTCCTACCACTACTAAATACTTTGTCGAATTGGGGGAAATTGAAAACGGTGAGAACATTCACACGAAAAACAGAAAATTAAGTATAAAACAGGGAGGAAGGGGTTTTCACGAAATTGTTCAATCAGATATTTTCCGTGAGTTTCCTGTGGGACGGCTGTATTATGCATCTTGGCAATAATATTTACCATCAACCACAAACAATATTTACCATCTACATCGACCTTCAACAGCTCGATTTATTGGAAAATACGTTTTATAGAACCTATTGGTTTCCCCAGGGATTCGGGTAAGGAAAATGCAAGTATGGCATAAAGACATGGCAACATGTATGCAAACATTAACTTAAAGTTCTTTTTATCAAATACCGCTAAACGTCCTATTCCATAGCTAAAAGTTTTCTTATCTGACAAATGAGTTCGTTGGCTCGCTCATGTAATATAATTAATATTATATAGCATGATCTCTTTTGATGCTCTTTTATAACTCTGTCTGTTAATTTTTAGTTAAAACTTATTATGCAATGGTGGTAACTTGAAGCGATCTCTATATTATCACTTCGAGTCCTATTAAATACGTACTAAAAAGAGCTAATTAGATAATGACATTTTTTCTCATTTAAATTATATGCAAGATTGAAAAGAAGGTGTCTGCGCTTTCCTACTTACCCCGATAAACCGTTAGAAGGCTCTCGCTACTTTATCAGGGTGCTATAACGATATTATATTATAGTTATGAATGCGACTTCAATTCGAATGAGCTCCTCGAAGATGGATCTTTCAGATGAAAAACGAGCGGATTGTCGACACGTTCCGTACGTTCCCATTTGCCACTAGGGCTAAAAAGTTAGCCGAAATAGCCTACGACGTTTCCTTCTTAGTATACGGTATCGAAGCTGTCAATAAAAACACTGCTCAAGAATGGTTTGCCAAGTTTGAAAGCCGTATCCGGGACTCAGAGAACGCTGCTCACGCTGACTATCTGAGTTTGATAGCAACCATCTAAAAGCATTTTTGAAAGAGGACAGCTGAAGAACAATTCGTAATTGACCGCAAATCTAGGTTGCAGCCACACGACCGTCGTTAACCACTTTAAGTCATTTAGATTCGATAAGAAGTTCAGAGCTTGGATACCACGAACTCCTTGAATCCAACAAGAACTGACATTTCAACGATTCATCTTGACATCTCGTTTGGTATCGAGCGTCACGTGGCCACAGGGACCAATTTTTGCTTGGAATTATCGCATAAGCCAGAAATCAAAATGGGTGACTTTAGCAGAAAAGCCAGATTAATGTCTGAAACAGGTTGTGCTTTGCATTTGGAGGGACTGCAAGGGACTGATATACTGGAAATTGCTTCATACGACCCATGCAGTTGATCGACCGTTGATCTGACCCAATTGCATCGAGTCGATCAGACTATTCGTGTGTGGCTTTTCCCTATAACACGGCGAGGTCACACACAGCAAACACCGTCAAAGCTGCCCTCCTGAATTCTAAAGTGAGAGACTTTGTTGTACCGTCATAATTTCCAGAGTTTGTTCCGACAAAATTTTCACCTGTCCTATCTGCTGGATAGTCAGCTTCCTGAGATTACCTTCAATATAGGTCAACAGATTGAAACGTGGTTGAAAACTCTTTTCAAACGAAACTGGCCACCTTGTAACGAGACGGAATATATCATTTGGTGAGCAGATGGGAGAAAATCATGAACAGCGACAGGGAGTACATAACATAATAACATACTGCCACAGGAATAAAAAATGTGATATTTTCTGTTCAGTAAACAAAGCACAGCAACTTTTTTTCAACTTAATATATTTTTATATATCTACAAGGCGTCTGAAAAAGTGTATACACCGTTTAACCAGTAGTATGTTTCTCAGAGTTCTTTCAGTTCAGAATATTATGAAATCGAAATAATGAACAAACAAAAATCAACTTTTAGATAAACAAAAAATGTATCTAAAATACTATTGAAAGTATGAAAATATAGCAAAAGCACAAAGGCGATGGAAGTGCAGGAAGTTCCAGACAGATCCGCCTACGCGACTTACGACTAGTCGGATGAGAAATATATTCAAAACAGATGGAGCTGTCTAGGATGTTCATAGATAACGTTCCGGAGGACCAAGAACATCAACGAACTTCACCAGTCAACACTAGACAGCATCCGTGAAGCATAAAATCCGTAAGATAATCAAGTCGGCGCTCGGGATCAGTAAATCAAGTGCGCATTGCATGTTTAGACATTAGTAGTAGAAAAGTTACAGCCCAGCAATGGTATATGCCATCAATGAAGAGGATTCGGACTCAAGAAGACGATTTTACAAATGGTACTTCGGATCATTTGCATGAACAGTTTACCAGGCACCGAAGCTACAGTGTGGTACAACTGTTTAAGTAGAAGATTAATTCGACAGTTCCTATAATAGGACGAAGCACTTTCCTGCTATCATTCTAATGTATCAATGTAAAATCCTTCAATCAGGTAAGTTAAGCAAAAATGCCCCATACTTTGTCCATTACATAAATCCAATGTCGATAGGCTTTTTCCTATAGATATACGTTATCGGCAGAGTCTATAGTAGAAAACCGACGTCACTGGAAGGTTTAGAAGTTGCAATCGAGCTAAAATATGTTACACAATTAAATTAGACTTTGTGAATCAATTAAATAAAGACTCAAGTTCTTACTATTCAAGCTATATTTATATTCTTTTTAATGATAGCTTGATCTCGGATAGAAAATTGTTCGCTTGACGCAATCTTCGGATGATCATTATTCTGCCTAACTTTTCATTAGCGAATATGCTCCTATTTACAATGGTAGTTGGATTTATGAACTTTAAGTAAAAAAAAAAAACTTTGAAGAGAAATACCTGTCCATAAGTTTCAACGAAGACCTATGATTTTTTTTTATGGAACTAATGAGTTCACTGTCTATCTCTAAATTTAGTCTTGAGATGTTTACCTTCACCTCTAAGTGTTGCGATGCACAATAAATAACGTTTGTTATGAATAATAACACCCTCATTCGAATCAATATTAGCAATACGTGAAGAGGTGTTAATATATGAGATAAGCGAAGCGTAATGTTCCTTCATTCTCTTGGACCGTGTCATGGCTGAGGGTTTCCCTGTGCTTGACCATTTGTTTGATGAGGACGTCTATAGAAAAAAGTTAGTGGATTCAGCACGTTTGGAAAAATCCTGAAATGAGAAGATACGTAATAATTCAAAATCGTTGATTTGTTTAGATCTACTTATTGTATAGAAGTACCGTTTAAATAGATTTTTAGAGTACGACGGAGCTTCAGTATCTCTGTATTTCTATTAATTTCACCTGCTTGCTTAAATCAATCATCAAAGGTTAATTATATTAAGTTGAAAAATATCCGTTTACCGTTCAACCAATATTTACGATCCCGTCGCAGAGTTTTAAAAGCGTATTTTAATACCTGTCCGGATGGAAGTCGAAGATCCTTCTAGACAAAAATTGCCTTCCTTGCTCGGCTCCATGCGCGATTTTTCTATAGGGACCCATATTAAACACTTCGCCCAGCGGGTTGCGCAGGATCTCCTCAACTCTCGATAATAACATCCTTTGAGCTGGGAGCTGCGCAGTCTTCTGTTCGGTATTCTGCTGGGCATTGTCACCTAGAATAGGTCAAAATCGGAAGGCGACCTAGGCTTATATATACATTTATTGGTTGGCTATAGATATCCAGAGCAGAAATTGATTGTATGTTTTCATAGTCAAATTGCCGCACAGCGAACATTGATGAATGAAAGTATGTTCAACGTTGTGCAACTGGGACTCTGCAATAACTTATCTTTTTTCAACTTAACAGGTGCTTTGAACTTTTTTTTTTAATTTCTTAATTTACGAAACTTAAAAGTACGTCTCATAATAGCCTCGATACGGTGGCAGACTTTCCGAACAGAATAAATCGTCATCTACGTCGGTCTGTTGCAAACAACTAGTGGATTCTTCAGTAACACTCCTTACCTATAAAGCTACATGTTTAATAGTATAACTTTAACATATGTTTACAAGCTATACTTAGCTGGTAAAATTACTGACGATCTTTGCCAACTTGATGTTGGTCAGCACCGATTCTGCTTCATAACTATCTACAATGATCCTATAACCTAGGGAAAATTGAGTTCCTGTGTTAACATTAAGCTGGAATAAGGGTTACAATCTGAAGGATCTCAGATAGATGTTACACTGAATGAGAGGCAAACTCATTCAAAATATGAACATCATCCGACATTTTAATAATTCAATGAGTATCCTTCTAACGAACATTCGTTAATCCAGTGATCGAAATGCGCTAATGAACACGGCGTTTTGATTTCGATTTACGTCTAGCTGGTATAGATAAGGTTAACTTTTTCGAATCATGCCTCAGAATGGCGCGTTCATACGTACTAATCTTACTCGCCACGTTACGCAGAGTGTCCATTACGCTAACGAGAGTAAACGCAGTAGGCAGATCTTTGGCCGTATGCGATGCCTGTGTCAGATATTCCTTGAGATTCTGCGAAAACGAAGTGGAAAATTAGAAAAAATTTATCTTTTACTGTTCATATTATGTTGAAGAGATAATAAAGTCTTCGACTGTTGACGGTATTATAAACACTTCTTCTAGTTGTTTGCAAACGCAAGGGCGCGAAGTAATATTTACTTGTCCCACTGTTCGCTTCCTTGCTAATTTCAGTTTATCGAATATCACACAAAGTTAGTTAAGTTGATCGTCTATATTATCATAGAATCGTATCAGACCGTTGAAAATGATGTGATATTAAGAATTCAAAAACGTCACTCCCCAATGTTTGGCGGTAGACAGCAAAACAAAATATTAACTTATCACTAGCTATTATCGCGCTATAGAAGTTAGGTGAATCAGTACTGCATGTTCCATAAACACACATATGTATTCATCTTCAACTTACATGTCTTGCTATCAGTCTTCAACGATTGTACAACGCTAATGCTGACGCTGACTGAGGCACTTCATGGAACTTACTGAATAACTAATAATAATTCGCGTACAGAAAACACAACAGGCACCGAGCTACCCTATACGCATTGGTTAGTACGCAAGCACACAGTACTATGAATACAGAACAGTGAAACACATAGTTAGAGTCCAGTACTACACGTCATCGACAACGAGCACCATAACAAAACGCCATCAGCTCAGAACAAGGATAACATGGCCGCTGATACGTGGGATCTGCAGAAAAGCAATCGTAATCCCGTCTTCTCTGCCGATTTTATTGGCGACTAGATGGACACGCTGCATAAATTAGAGACCACAGAACGAAGACACCGACAACACTTAGACGGCATACCGTAAGAACTCCCCGAAAGGTCGTATCTGTCGTTGCGTTGCGAAGGCGGTTGACAATTCCGATCGACTTCATTATTCGACGAGGCAGTTCTTGAATAATCTTGAATAGGCCATTCATGCGGCCGGGGTACTCTCCTAGGACACCGAACACGTCTCCTCGAAGGATTCGCCGTAAATCGGTCATTACACGTTTGTAGTCAAATACCGTTTGAATCACAGCCAACTGAAAAAAGGTCGTTGTGGATGTCGCGCGAAACAACAGTCAGGGTTTTGTTGGGTCTCGAATGACCGACTAGCCCTGACAATTCTGCGAGGTTTATAAATGTAACGCTTGCTTTGTTGTTTCTCTGCTTGTGCTATAGGTTTTGTACTTTCATATCGCTTTCGGAAGAGCATTCTCTTTCATCCCTATTTTTTTAGCATAAGTAAAATCCTATAAGTTATGATTTAAGAAAGTCAGAATTCGCTTTTTGCGTAAAATATGTTGGCTCAAGGCGGTTCGCTCTGTAAACGGATTTTATGTATCGAACAATCCCAATAGGCAGACGTGGTCTCCTTAACGACAAAGATCTGTCAGATTTCGAAAATATCGAAGTTTCGTGAGCCCTTCGAGTTTATTAGCTTAATAGCCCGCAAAGCAGATGGCAGACCTCTAGCCAGCATGAGTTGTCGTCGGCTTAATTAAATTCTGCCTTTGGACCGTGCTAATGTTAGAATGAATAACCGAAAGATGCTTTAAGAAAATAAAGCATGTACTACGTGGTTCGTCCACTTCCCTTATTTTTGCCTAACTTTCGTTGATCTAGACGATTTGTCCTAAAATGTACTAGCTTTTGAATTAGAAAATCTTTAGTTTTGTAAACACATCCTAGTATTAGCTACCTGCTAACATTATTAGAAGCTACTACGAAACATTCTGCAATGATGATGATGATTTGATACTTCCTGAATGTCCCGTTTGAAGGACGAGCTAACGGTCTTGTTTCTAGTTTATGGACGACTAAAATATTTGAAAAATATGGGAAATATAGTCACCAGTTGCGTCCGTATCACAGACGCGAGTCTGTGTCGCAAACTAGATTCTCTATAGGAAAAAAATATCTTTATACACAGCTTACGTTATTGTGTCTATGTAGCGAAGTAAAGCATTCAGCATATAATTACCTAGCGAACCTATTGTAACAACACAACGTAAAACGTTCTCTCTTAGGGACACAAACGAAGCGAACTGCTTTCACAGCAGTTCCAATTCGAAGATTTGATTTCGTTCTTCATTTTGCTGTACGACCCAGGCCACGAATGCAATGGACATCCTGCTTTAAATACTATATACATATCAATGGCGAGCTGTTCCGTTAAACACTTTTGTTGTTGTTGTCGTTATGTCTGTCGTTGCTGAGAGGAACAATGACTAAAAGTTAGGACTTGATTTAATCTAACGGAAAAAGGACAGGAACCTACGAGCTCCCCTCGTTTTTACGATTTCATTTGTGTTATTTCTTCTATTGTGTATGCTTAGTGTGGAATGAATTATTTTTCGGTTTAATTTCTTGTTAAGAACATATATATATATATATATATATGTACTAATAAAGAGCTTACCATGTCGTTGGAGCTAGATCCTGGAACGGCCGAAGCGGTAGCATTGACTATGGTGTCAGTAGTTGCTTTTGGTGCGGCTGCACTGCCACTTCCCTATAGGTAATATTACTCTTTATTAGTAGTAAGCGGATTTTAAAATGAGTGTTCGTTCGATTTCTGGACAGAAGGGTATCAAAATGCTATAGAGAGAAGTGATTTGTGTGTTCTTTTGAAGATAACACAATGGATTCATATAAAATGCTCCTATTCTTGCTATTCGATTAATATCTATATATATTTATGTTGTTTTGTTGTAAAATTGTAACTTCAGTTCAAAGTATTAGATACAAAAAGATAGTACAGCCAAATCCTTAGTGATCTCTGCCATTGGCAACGAACCCTTATACCGTGTTGGGCCAATATGCCCTGGTTGATTCGATCGTGGTCAGAGATGTCGTGGTCGGGCTTATCCTTGTGTCTATTATTATCCTGTTCATTTTCCTGGCCACTCTCTCTACCCTAATAAAGGGGAAGTAAATGAAGTTCTATCAGACATAACCTAGCAGACGAATTCGCTTCGTTGACCTTTCTGCAATTTTAGCAAACCGGCGGAGTGAAATTCAAGGCTTTTTCCTCGTAGATAGTAGAATGTCTTTATTGCTAAATCTGTATACTAATGTGGAGGAAAACTTGGTACTAAGTTTATTTGGCTACAACAATTTTAGTTGAAGTACAAATTTTCTAGTTTATAAATGTATCTTTGTAAGCCCTTCTAGTTAACGGCTGTGTTTGTTCTATCCATGTGTCTCTGCAGAGGTACGAAAGTAAATTCTTAGGTAAAATAATCTTCTGCATTGCCCTGTTGAGCTCCTCAGCTAGACCGGCGTCCTAACTATATACATATTATTTCTACTTTAAGCATCTAAGGGGAATTTTAAATCGATGTGGATGTAACTGTCGTTTATGATAAGTAGTACTGGAAAAATTCCAGATTGGGAATTATTTCGAAACTTACACCTTTAATAAAAGCCCCGAGTGGCTATAAAATAAATATCGCATGATTGATATAGCGAAGCCACGTATAAACAACTCTTACCCCTGACACGGCTTCAACAGGGGCTGCTCCACTATCTTCCGCGGCCTTGTCCGACTTTCCACGAGGTCCGCTCGTTGCTGACGGACGATTCTGAGTCTCAAACTTGTCCTGAATTCTGCGAAGTTCATGCCTTGCGCACTACAAGTTTAATGCAATTGTATTTCCACATCAAAACAACAAGAACATAGGAGTTGATTATATTTGTCTGATACTTAGTGCCAGAACTCAATTTTCAAAAAAGCATTACGTATTTATTCAGCAACTAACGCATCACATAAGGTCTATTTTTTATCACTACTACGTATTATTATGTCTTTATAGTACCTCAATATCTAATCAATGCGGTGTTTATTTGCGGATCACAATGAAGTACTTACGTCGGTGAATGTTTCAGCTGTTACAGTAATTCCTCCGTTCTGGAACGAAAATTGAATAGGTAGAGTTATTTCTGGGTTTCCTACTAAAGGTTATATGGAGACATTTTCCTTCAGGGGAACATTGCTAATTGCTAAACGAGCTGCTGATAAAATATGGCCGGTTTCTTGGTAAAATATTTTAAAGTAACAAATTCAACGGCGGCATAGGGTGGGTGCACGGTGCGCATTTATCCATTTATGTTGCCATGATAACCATGAATATGCAGCCATCACTGGTTCAAAGGTTGGTAAAGGGGATATCAAATGAAGTGATTGTTCCCGTGCCATCTCATAGGTTTATTGGAAAAATTCTACGTAAGTTTTAACCCAATTCTAAAGACTTTTTAGTAAAATCCTTAATACTGTTAATATTGGCGTATTAAAACGGCAGAGATAGCCAGAAGAGTTGAACGAAAATTTAAAAGTAGAGGCGTCCATACCCAAAATTGTTGACACTCCTCAATGCAGGCCCAATTTGCTCCACAATAATGGATTAGGCTGAACCGACAACATGACAAAGTGACTATCAAGTATTTTGCGAAGACGGCTTTAATCACAGGAAGAATTTTCCCTGTTATGCAATTTTTGTATTGAATTATCTAAATATATTTTACACAAAGCAACTAAATGAACACATATATCAGCAACAGTGAATCCAGATTATATATGAGATCAATAAAGGCGTTCTCAAACATAAAATGGAACAATAATCGATTCAACGCCTACACGCATGTATATGTGTTTACCTCTTCGATAGACGCGGGGTCCTTGCGAATACAATCAGGAATGGTCGAGTCAAAAGCTGCGTCCATGTGGACGAATTCCATGCTTTCGGGAATTCTAATCTTCAGAGGGATCGTGGGAATTCCTCCCTGACCGCCATCGAACTGAGACTCACTCTGCGGTGCTTCTCTGCCCCGCTCCTGATCCGTCTGAAGCTCACCGGGATCATTATTAGCAAAACTCGTCACTGGGGTTTGTCGACCCCCATGTCCCCTTACTCCGGCAACTAAGCAGAACGTGAGAGTCGCTGCAGTCCATGAACGCTGTCAATGCGTTCGAAAATTACAATACAATACGAAATTTCCTTTATTCAAGGGATTTAGAAAGCGGTTACGATATGATAGCATAAGCCGGGTCATTCGCCACCTGCCATCAAAGAAGTTGTTAACTGTATTAAAAATGGCTATTTCTAGAGCACTGCACAGATGGTTTCTCTTAACTAAACAAAAAAAATTATTGTTAACAATGTCCGCCATCATCACTTTCCTCGTGGAGAAATACAACGCTTCGTTTAATAGACCTACAGGAAACATGTTTTCACTCTACTCACTTTAGAACACTTCGCAACGTATTTCTGATGAAGTGAGGACCATTTAGAGGTAATTAAGGCGTTATGTACGTTCGAATAAAACTAAGGGTTTTCTGTGATAGAAGTTTACGATATACAATTGCATGGCCGTGGTTCTTCTTTTGAATAGTGAACAACGTGAACTTTAAACTAAACCTTCATATGGCGCTACAGACGGTATCTAAGCAGCTTGTAGAAAATAAACGGCGTTATCCGTAATAGTCTTAATAATTTATTTTGGTGTAGATAATATCGTTTAGAATGCAACTAATCCACTTGCCTGCTAGACGGTGTGTGTGTGTGTGTGTGTGTATGTTTGTGTGTCTATGTTGCTTTGTTTATCTCGGTATAGATTTTTTACTTTACCGGAGTACACATTGTAATTCACAAAAGCACCTTCGAATAGAAGTTTAAAACCTCGACATAATATCATGTATACAAAAGGGCCTGGATAAGAGCCCTGCGACACTTCGGACGGAGCCCCTGCAGAGGCTGACGGGATGTGTCAAACTTTCGGATAGACACGATCCCAGTGCGTCACTCTGGGACCCATTCCGAAAGCAGACATCTCTGAGATCGATAGGTCGTGATCCACCTTGCCACATGCTCAGGAAAAATTTAAATAAACACTACGAGGTGCATTGTTATAATTTCGTTTGAGGGGAATATGAAGTTTATTTTTATTGATCTAATTTGTAGATTACAAATATATAAATTGTCCTGGTATACGTTTTCCATCTATATCTTTCCCACATATATGGGTACAAGTCAGCATAGAAAACATTATAGCTGGTGCTAACGTTACTGCGCTAGCTAAGCGACACATAGGACCAAAACATGCCTAGTGTACAATTTAGGTTTAGCCTTTGGAGAAACCGAGTGCTTCGAATCGTATTTAAGTTACCTGGGCTTTGAGCGTACTCTTTCAATCCTACTCAGCACAGAACAACATATTAATCGTACGAAAATTCTGACCCCAAAAATTATGTCGTCTGCTAAATCAAGGATACGTCGCTTTTTTTTTTGTTCATATAAAAAAATGGTGGCCGTATTATTCGCGTACTTCAGCCAGAGTCGTCCAAGACTACGATCGTTTATGTAACTGTTGACGGTATTTTGTTCCCCTCGTAGATCCATTGCTGGTTTACCAATAAGCGCAAAGTTGAACTTTTTGTTTGTAACAGCATAGTTAACAAAAGGTTCATTATATTGTCTCGTTTCGAATGGTGGCCGTCGTTGTCAAATAGAAACACGATAGATTTGAGAACAGTAACGGACGACCATTTTTCTGTGACAGTTAGTTGCGCCATGGCAAAGCGTGTTCATTACTTAGTAAATTAACTTTGAGCGAGTATGGGTCGCTTATTGAAATAAATTATATAGCTGGCGATAATATTTAATAAATATTGGCGAGTATTGGGTATGTATTTTTTTGGTGATCGCGATGAGTAATTTTTTCAAGTTTTTGCCTAATCTACTGTTGCAAGCCTATTTGAAAATGTGTTGTACGTTTGAGTATTTGAAACAGATGTCCCGTTAAAAATTACTTTAGCACTTTTTCCAACTAACCCTGACCAACACAAATATCCTAGGGGATGTACTGTGTATCTACCATTTGGACGGTAGAATTGGTGTAACCCTTAGGCATAAAAAATGAAACGTTAATTTGATTTTTTTTAACTGTTCCTTTCTGTTATCTAAGTACATTTCTGTAACTGAGTTCAAGAAAATTGGTGGTTCAATTAATCGAACCCTTGGCGGCTACATAGCGTTACTCCCAGTTTTAAAGCAACCATATGTCTACTTCGATTTGTTTAAACGCCTTCTATATGGGCAAGGATGGATCAGCAGCCTGCAACAGTTAGAGGTGCTGACATCCAGTTCGTTCAAACGACATTATCTATTGCTTTATCTGTTTACATTGACGTTGGTAGCCATATCTCCGAAACTGCCATTTGCCAACAGTAAAAAGGTGTTTCCATAGCTTGTTTCCTTATAGACATTATCGTCATTGGCGCCGGAAAACTGCGGCTTATGAAACGGACCAGATGATACGTTTCAGCAGACGGCAGAGATTTACTGTTCCGTTACCTTTGTATTGTGCAGACGCGCTCAAGATCAATCCTAGGGAGACAACGACAACTTCTTAGATCGGCGAAACCGGTTTCTGTGAGCGAGCGTCTTGATTGACTCGAACCCGTTTATGATCTCAGGTTACGAAAGGTGTCACGCCACGAAACACCGACTTCTGTATATATTTTTCAAGCTGAGGATTACATATTTTATAGCATCCTCTTTGCAACAACGTAGAGACCATTGGTATTTTTTTTCTAGCAGGGGGCTGTTCCACCTGTTGTAAGGAGCAACGCGGCATGTATATTTAATAAGAAAGACCTTCAACTCAATACTCATCTCCAAGGGGTAGCAGATTACGGGACCTCTACACTGCGGGATCTAACCGATCTCCGCTTTGCTCCTATTTTGTACTCGAAGCTGATCGCGATGTATAACACTCCTTATAAGAGTCATTTACCGGGTAAAAAGCGTTACCGTTCAGTAACTACCAAAATACCACATATTATTATTATTATTAACTCTGTCGTCAATGGAATTATCGGCCTATAATAACTGCTAATGCAAAAGTGATATGACAACAATAACCTGAAAAAATATGTGATTCTATGAGAATCACTATTAGACTCACGAGGTGAGGACGTACCCCAACAGAAGAGACTTCGTTTTTTTTTTTTTCTAGTACCTATACATCATAATAAAGCCAAGCGATAATCGCGCTCGTTGAAATTGAACCATTTAAGAACTTTCCCTTACTGAAGGAGGCATCAAAGTGTTTGCATAAGGCCAAAACTCTACTTGATAGGACCCAAGCATGTATCTGGCTAGTGAAATATATTTGCAGTTAATTTTGAAAAATTATAACCCGAGTTTCTTTCTAAAAACTGCTGAGTATCTCGGAAGTATTCTGAAAGTAGCTAGTAATGTAGCCGGCCTCCCCGGTAGTGTCGCAGTAGCTGTTCTGCGATCATACCACATGCTAACAATGAGTTTCATTACCTAGTAAAAAGAGCCTACTTTCAATCGTAGCAGATAAATTCTGCATTTTATTTGAAAAAAAACGCTCTTCTTTAATCAGCAATAAGCGGATATAATGTTTAGCAGTAACTCCTTCAGGCCCCTGTTACGATACCGCCAGGCTACGATTAGCTAAAGGGTTACTGATGGTTACTGTTAAGGCTTTGGCAGGAAGACAGTCAACCATATCAAGAAAAAAGGAGGTCAACTTAAGCTTATGTAAACAGAACCTAAACCGGTTGGGATGCGTGGTTTTATGCCAACGGCGCTACACATCCAGCGATAATAAAGTGTTTCCAAGTAAATTCATTGTAAAGTTGAGAAAATCAAATGCATAATCGTCCCTATTTAGCTAATTTCTATTATTTATATGCGACTGCATGGCATAGCCGAAGAAAACAGCAGGATCTTCTCTCCGCGCGTAAAATCTAATATATGCAGATTCGTCGATGAGAATATATTAGAAGCGTGGGAATCTTCTTCCTGCTTATGGCGTGATTTCTGAAACCACGTCCTTTTCAGAGCAGTCATCTTCACACTACTGCATACTTTTCTACGTGATATTGCGTCACGCTTAACGTGATCGGCGTGACAATCGACTCTGAACGTAGTAGAAAATAATTATTTCAATTGAGAACTGATACGTATTAGCTACTTGTTGGATTTTTAGAACACGTCAAATTGATTGAATTAAGCATCCTGGTAATATGTGTCCTATTCGCGCGTGCCACTGCACGGGGCTAGACTTCACAGACAAAAACGTCAGTAGCTTAGGTGTTTTTATTGTTTTATCACTGTTATTATAATAGGCGTTCTATTGCCCTATGGACAAGCTATGTTCGAGCGGATCGAATATGAGCACCCGTGTGACAAACAACTTATTCACAGAAGTTGGTCTACATAAAATGTTTGAAAAACTATGTTTATGCCAGTGGAAAGATATCGAATTCACTATGGGCTTTCTTTCTCGCCCTTAGATTATGCCGGCTTAATATAATCGAACTCGCTAAACTCATATTGGTTAACTGAATGAAAGATGATTGAAATGTTCATTTTTACAAAATAGTATAATAAATGGCCTAAACAAAACTTCTAAGAGTATAGGTTATCAATTATTGTTAGTCTCGAAAGGCCAATTCTAACACGATGTGGATTTCGAGTCGCAGGAGACTCACCATGGTCGGCAGAAAGTATTAATCCTCGATCTTTGTTGCAAACGTTGTTCCGACTGGACGCTGATCGGGTCAGCAGGTCGATCTATCAGACAGATACTTTCCGTCTGCCTTTCACTCTCTTCCCTTATATTTGTTTTCGTTAGATATTTGCTAAACGGTGGCGATTTGAGGACCACGCCACAGGTACACAGCAGTTAATCTTCTTCTATGGCCTGATGGTGGAACGTCTCCATGGGTCTTGTCGCAAGCAGCTGCCGAACACGATCCGATGCTGTCAACGACAAGCGATCACTACCGATGCGAGGCTAGCTGCTCGAAAGACCAATGGTCGCAAGCCAACGCAAACGTTACTTGACAGCCGTCGTCACAGCAATAGCATCACCGGTCGCGGCAGTCACCACGTCGCTGCGCAAAGCGAGACCCGCAGAAAGAAGTCAATACATTTGTTAAAAAGAGAGGACCCACCCGACGACTCAGCAGGTGTATCGTCTTCCTTTGTAGGAAAGAACCGGACATTCGACAACTAGCAAAAAGAAGCGCCAGATAAAAAGAACAACTCATGACGAAGAAGATTGAAAAGCTAGATGGAAAGCACGCCATGGAAAGTGAAGTCGCGTCAATTCTTTCCCTTGCGCGAAACATCGCATTCGCATCCGTCTTTACGTGGTGAATGCTGCGCCAGAAAAAGACGCTGGACTGGGCAGATGTTAACGCCGTAATTGCCATTGTCCCCTATACCACTATGATAGCTCCTGAATCGTCAATCATGGTCAGTATCAGGTGAAACGGGTAAGGGAGGGGTTCGGAGGGGGAATCGGTCTGCCCCGCTCCTTAACCAGACAGGAGAGTATGCAGGCATTTATTTATGCGAGAGGCGTCGACGCCGTTCTTAGTACTGCCACGCCAATAATAGGTATAGACGCCACCGTTACCGCGACGCACGGCAACATCAACAAACGCGTCCAGAGGAACTAGCATGTGGAAACGAATGTGTGCTATCGCCGTCACAAGTTAATGATATTCATCAATAGTTATCCGAGATCCAGCGTGAATGTGGAATTGGCAAGCTGCGTTTGAAGGCAGCAGAAGACACCGCCTGTCCGACACTGCGTTACAGACTTGAGGAAGGGTGTTAGCCACTGCAATGGGCTGATGCATTGCTTATACGGTGGAGCTACAGATGTGTAGCAGGACGGGCTTGGCGGACCCGGCCGTAGAGTGGATACATCTAATCGAACGCTACGATAACGTCGGAAATTGGGGGATCCATTAATTGGATCTCGGAAATAGAGACGCTAGTAATTGCCGGGGCACTGCCCGTACTGTGGTTCCTGTATGGTGTGCGAAGCAAAATTATACGCATAAACTACCGTAGCTTTCCCGGAACCGCGGGCTCAAAGGCACTTCTGCGATTTTTCCGTTGTTAAAAATAATAATTATTATCTAACTCTAATGATTTGTATGAAGTCACATGAGTGAAAGACACATAAGGAAAATGTAAATGTTAGGAGTCATCACCAACTATGGAGGTGGTAGCTTAACGAAACCATTATTGCTAGAAGGCAAATGAGGGTTCATGTCATGGAATTATCAAAAAGAGCGTTACAAATTTCTAGGTAAACTGGATTTTTCACTTCTAAAATTGTAATCTATTGCATGTTTACTACATGCATTGCGTGTTGCATACTTGTTTCCAATTTTCAAACAGTCATCAATTGTTTCGAGACACGCACAAATACTAACAAACAAAAATAGGTCATAGCTTATAACTCAAAGCGCAGAAGAGGACACACCTTACTAATATAAAACGTGATGATCTCCTAAAAATCATTTTGACCGTTATCAATTACGGGTTGTTCGGAGAAGGGTGCGTCTATGGCGCTACTAATGTATTGCATTTTTGAAGGACGAGCTTATCTATAGAGATACACATAGCGTAAGGAAGCTATCTAGAAACAATAATAATAACAGCAGTATGAAACTAACCAATTGTGTAACTTATCTTTGCCGTAGATTCACACGTTTGTAAATCTATATTAAAATCATTGTATCTTTGCACTATGTATACGTAATTGAGAAAGAACCCATAAGCAAAATTTCATTAGAAATTTCCGTCCTAAGTGATTGAGAGAATAAAATCAAACTATTTGATTCTAGATACTGTTGTAGAGCAAAGAAAGGGTATTCACATGAACAGGCCATTGTAGGCACACCTACAGGACGTCACAGTAAGTATAAGTTATTGCACATTTACACCGAGTTGTATATACTTAGGAAAAATAAAGACTTGAACAAGTTAGTCCAGTAAAATATTGCCACTCTTAATCATATATACATAGACAGAGTAGCCAGCTATTCGTAAAAAAGAAACACCAAGGGCGAAAAAACATATATTTTGGCCTTTTACTCAAACGCGGAGATATCTCGAAGAATGTAGGCAGAGAAAAATAATACAGAATACCAAATATCTCGTCTTCTGCTCGTTGCTTTATAAAGATAGCATACGAAAATATTAATACGATGCAACACGAGTCTCTATTTCAGCGAACTCCACTTCTGAGGAAACTTCTGCGTGCTTGGGTGAAGCTCCGTCCATCTGCTCCTCAGCTCCACCGCTGGTAGGGCTATATACTACAGAAGCTGCAGGGCATTCAAAAAGCCCACGTGAGAAAGAAGCATCTGTTGTGCGTTTTTTTTTATCGCTAATAGACGGTGCCTGTTAGGTGCGCAGTTCAACGGAACATTTTTAGCTTACTAATAATACGTACTAAAAAATATTAAGATATATCGGAATATGTATATGACGGTACCTATATATATATATATATAGGTGCCGTGATATGCAAACGTTAAGTCAAATTTTTGACCCTAAAACAAATTGTTTGAAAAATGTTTTTTGGGAACTCTTTAAAAAATGCAAGGTCGAAATGAGTTGAAAATGTCGGGAAGATTTTAAGCCATCAGGAAACTACGTTGGTAATGGATCTCCTGACCGATTTGCAAACGTTCTTCATTGAACTGCACAGATCAGACCCTATTTACAGTGTTTCGGATTTTCGGACGTCACATCACCCGTGCTTATATTTCACTCACTGTGATCAGAAGCTCATTTCGATAACGTTCGACTCAAGCCCAATTATCCATAGTGCTCGTTTATTAATTTAGTCCCATGCTCACGTTGTCGAACTGATAGTGTCAGGGCACCACAAACCGTTCTAGAACTAAATGTAGAACTGTTCTTCTTATTTTCTAAATTGAATTATATATACGTGTAATATAGTGTCAACGCTTATTCTAAATGCTGAACTACGTTTCAACGCCGATATATGGAACGTCCGAAAGCCACCTTAGCCTACTCAGTATCCCTATATTAGATTTTGCCGTTACATTTCTCTCGTACGAATGATATTAAATTTAATTATCACAGTATACAATCGATTACGCTAGACCGACTTCAATGTGAAATTTCACACAAAACTTACATTTGAGTTTGCAAAGTTGGGGTCATTCAATTGTTACCGGTGTATGTACGATAACATATAAAGAAAGATGCCGATTAGAGAGTAAAACGTCAAATACTCATGTAGGTTCAGAACGAAATTGTTGCATGTCAGCACGACGACGCTCGATCACGCATGTGCGGCTTAATTAAACAAGCACATGATCCTGTACATAGTCCGACTCTCATCGTCGATGACTTTTAGGTGCGGAAGTTGTACGAACAGATCGATGTATAAAAAGTTAAGGCCACGTAATAATGTGTCGAATCTTTGTACAACCTGTGGACTGTGAATTGCGAACGCTAAGATTGAAATTTTTACACGAATCACACCCTTGTAAACACTTAATCACATAAAAGTACGACGTTATAAATAGCTCAACCCTTGTTATGATCGGGCTTGTTATATGGTGTACACTTCAATATGGCGTCTTGCTGGCTGAAAGCCACTGTTACTTTGGATCAAGCAGCAGCATCTCCAGTGTCTATTCAGTAACGAATCTAATAGTGTCACGGTATCGGCTGTTTTCTTTACGAACAGGAGGACTGCTAACGCTAGCCTGAGTAAAAACAAAACCTAGACATGATTGAATTTAAAACTCAAAATCGTTCACGGGGTAATTACGATGATGATTAAGATGTTGGGCTTGCCTCTCCTACAGCCGCGGTGCTTATTCGGCATATGCAGAGTATCGATTTATACAGCCTGCAACCTTTGCTCTCTCGATTCTGAATAAAAAGAATATTATTATTATTGTCCTATACCTATAGGCCGACCCCACCAAAGGCAAACAATGCAAGAGAGCTGTGTAAATATTCTTTTATTGTAAACGAAACCATTGATCACGAAATGATGCAAATGTACACAATTGATATTTGATGACGCTTTTCCCCTGACCCCAAGACATTAAGCAACGTTGCGAGTAACCCGACTTGATAATATGAAGAATAATAATAATAATAAGGATAATAGAAGAGATAAATTTCTGTAGGTAGCTTCTATCATATTCATACATGTAAATGTCGACGGCATCATTTTAACCGATTTTATCCGATTCTTTTCATTCCTTGCGTTCTAGGCAAATATCTATATTTAAGCTAACCCAAAAAAAAAATTGTTTCAACTACGTCATATCGAAATTGCGTTCCGTACTTGAACTTCTAACCATGTCCATCCGTATAAAGGAAACTCTGTTGCTCGATGTTTCTTGCCTGTTTGCTTTATGCGCTTCCTCCGTTACCGACAAAAAGTTCTTTCAAGTTCTCTAATCTAACATCTTAAGTATTATAGGCTGCACTATAGAGAGTTCCATTCATGCAGAAAGTTCCTCGAAGGGATATGGACGTATTTTTCAATTATTTTGCCTATATTACTGTATGACCTTAGCTGGACATTGGAGAATTCAGCTGCGGCGTCTCAAGTACGTAATCGATTTCTCGATTGAAGCACCAATACCGGAAGGTCACATCGTTTATGCTGAATGCCTTGGATATTAATCTTCGTTACTGCAGCAAGTGAGTGTACGGGCCCGAGTACTGGCGGTTGATGTTAAACGACGAGGCAAAGAGGGAAACTCGCAATCGTTTCGCCAGCCCTCAGACTGTGGCGATACGAAGCGAACAGATATCCAGCATCAGTCCCAGCTACAATGACCCCATTTACCATCTAACGGGTGGAGCATTGCCTGATGGCAAGCGGCTTCCCAAAGTCAAATAGCGCCTTTTAAAGTTCAACGTAGCCCGACACAACGACGATGTCAGTGCATTCTTTTCAATTTGGTTTGGCTGAAACATAGCTTCATTCAACCTCGAATCATGATCTGTCTGGTTAGGTCCCGCAGTCATCCACAACTAATTCTTGTGTCATGTGGTAGATGAGGCCTAAAACGTTTGTTGTTAAATCACTATAGTGGAACATTAGGACGTTAACAGGCAGCCAGATTCCGAGACTGCTACTGCAGCGGCAAGCACTAGTTACGGCTACGTCTGGCCGAAGGTGTTTACGTTGACGACATTGCAGAACGACGACGACGACGACTTTTGAACGGAGCCGATTTGCTCCAAAGGGACTTGGAAAGAACGACGCGAAGCACTATTTACATAGTGAGTGACACTGAATTAAGCTAGTTATTTTAAGCGTATCTACAATATAACGGTTGCCTTTAAAACCCTCAAGTTTTGAACTTGCTGGATATTTTTTAATCCAGGGTTGGTATAGTCTCGTCAGATCATACAAGCCGTTAACTTAGATCAGTACGACGACATGATATGATGCAGGATCTTTCACTGAAGAACACCGGAAGCGCTCTGTTGTCAACGAACACTTTCGCTATGGCTTTCGATTAGCGACTGATTCATGTTTCCAGTTGATTCAGTACTAACTAGAAGTTACGAATGCGAATGTAGCTTCCAATAGAAGCGGCGATATTTACTATATCAACTAACAGACAGGCTATAACCCGCCATATTTTTGTAATATATTGCCCACTCGATAATAACGCCGGCGCACCACACGCTAAATATGATTTATTTATGGCTAAATTAACGGTACGGTACTGTTACAGTTGATATGACTGGACAATGGAGTGGAAACAAGAGCCTGCATTTGTCTTAAATGTACAAAAGGTGTTCCAAGGGTGGGGGCTCCAGTCTCTGAATCACCAGCAGTTATTCTGGGTGTCCCACTTTGCACATATAGCCAATGAGAAAATCCAGTTGCCCATAAGTGTCGCTGTATGTATATCCAGTATAATTTAATACAGTAATTTAGTAATACTCGGTAGCTGTATTTACGTTTACGTTTGAAAGAACCGTGTGTTCGTTTTTTTTTTGTGCCGAATATCAAAACACAAAGGGGTAGCTTCCGCATAAATGAAAAACAAGGGTAAATATTTTACATCATTCATTGATGCGCGATATCCGCATGCATCAATTTCGTAATAACTAGCAAGCAGTAATAGAAATTATACTATTATTATGAATTACCTGCGAGGCAAGGACGAAAGCTGCGAAAACAAAAAAAGAACCTGAAGCACGAGGAAGGCACGAGGGCGAATAATACGAATCTAATACATAATGAAGAGATCCGAGACGCTTGTGGCACCTGAAGGTCAACGAAGAAGAAGCCTCCCTTTCTAGAAATTGTCTTGCCTCTTTAGGCATATACTATATTATTGATTTGTAAATAGACAGCTTCCTAATTTGTTTCAAAAACGCAAAATGGCTCCGGTTCCTTTAATAACAAAAAATGTCTCTCAGTTTTCACAATGGTACGTGGGCATCATAATTCATAGACTTTTAGCAGCTCGATCAAGCGAACATCTTAAACATAGGCGTCAGTAGTACCTTGATTTCAGCTTCCTCCATCGAACCGATATGTTTCTTCAAACGTAACAAGCAATAAGTGAGTGCGAAAGAATTATATGGCGTGCATACACGTTTAGCGCCTTTACCAATGAATATCAATGTTGTACGGGTCAGCTTTGCGAACATCAAAGTTGATTTGACTATGCCCAGTTGATGGATTCGAATATCTAACTTTGTAGTCATAGTTATTTTTAGATTCCTGTTGAGAGGAAGATCAATTAATTTTCGTCCATCTCTGAAAAATGTCTTTTCTTCAACAACAAGATTATTTGCCTTCGGTGCATATCGATGCCAAGGACTTGCTAGATGGAGTTCGAGTCCGTGAATGCCCATTTAGCTCCCGAGAATGGGCCGCTCATGGTACGGGTCACTGAGTTACCTGGATATCATCCAGGGCAAATGCCAAAGGACACCTTGCGCGACAGTAACCAAGCAAAATCCATAAAGCAAGGAAACTTATAGAGGCATATGAAAATAGCACACACCCTGCTATACGTCCTCGTCGAGCTATGGCTGTTTGAAACCTACGAAACCTATCTTTGTTTTGGTTCTGACCACCAATGTTGAGCAAATAACATGGAATTATTTCACAATATGGTTGCTATCTCGTTCGGACGCAGATGGCCAGGCAGTGTTCTTTTGGACCAAAGAATCATATGTATTTTGTTACATGTAAAGTTTCAGCCACGCTTCGATCTAGATACCTTTTTTGTAGATAGTTATACTGACATTATATGGAGCACGTGGTTACTGTTCTGCAGTGTATGTCGCCCCTACTCTAACAGCTAATATGCTGTTAACAAAATAGAATTTATATATATATATATATATGTGCATTTTCAGTTAATAAAGTAAAACACATTAAAACGCAAAAACAAACAAGACGAGCACCGTGGGTTTCTGTCTTCTCCCTGTCGGATTAAAGTGAAAGTTTCAACTTCCACTGATTGTGCCTCCCAGCAACGACAGAAACCACAGCAACCGCTTAACAAAAAGAGTTCAATATAATTTGTATGAAAATGACATTTGTGACTTCGATCCTATAGCAGAATGAAAAACAGAATAAGCGTACGAACATAAATCGTTGGGAAGCGGCTTCAGGTTGACTCACAAGTACGTTATTGATATGGTCGAAAAATTGCACCTCGAGAGTGTTAATACTGCGGAATGACGGAGTTGGTCCACCGAGAAATCGTAGGGTAGTCAAAAACCAGCTGGTTGCACGGCAGGCGGCAGGTTTCGCTTACTGAAGTAGGGTTATGTAATGAGTTGTTATTGCTTATATATGGCCTGAATAGTACATTTATACACGATCGGACAACAGAGAGTAACCTATCATCGTGGGCCCAATCTAAAAAATGCTTGTAGTTTTTCGTTTTATATTGGCGTTTACCGTGCCGTAATATTATAAAGTGGAAAAAAAAAAAAAAAAAAGGTCTTGAAGTGTTTCAATCGGACTTTCGAAATTGGCACCTAAAAAAGCGGGCGCTTGTGGCAGTAATCAATCCGTTTTGCACCCAAATTGGAATATTTGGGTTGATAAATGATTTTGTTTGTTCAATAAAACCTGTATTCCAAAATGATGGCTATAAATTTTGCCATAGATATTTGTGGCTGATTTTTTTCAACGTATAGTATTTATGTTCTCGGCAAAAGACTTCGCGCTGACGGCCATACACGATTTCAATATCGAGCTACCCTTAACTGGAACGCATTACACCAGTAGACCATTCAGATTACTAGACTGGCTAATTTCATGAGCGCAAAATCGAGAAAAGACGAACGACGTCACCTTTTCAGCCAAACTCAAACTCAGAAAGTTTGCCTGTTGTAACTTGCTGACGTAGATCTTCTCTGTTAAGTGGCAGATACGTCTCACGATGAAACTACAGCTCACAGGTTTCTCCCCTACAAGATTACGGGGAACGACTTATAGGGAAAGCCATAACAAGCCGTTATTGAAGGTCACCTAACGACTGCGTCATTTGGAAACAACATTTAGACGATAATGTTCAAAATAGCATTTTACGTATATGTCGTTTCCTATCGGTATACCCTGCAAAGCACGCCCGTAAGTTTGAATTAGTAGAACTTATTTCAACGTAGGTAGTAACGTCTCGTTTTTTGTTGCTGTAGACTTGACGCAAATAGTATGTCATTCATGAGAAACTTGCAACTTCTTGATCGACTCACAATTTTGAAGTGATTAATACTATTCAAAATATTGGGGAACAGATGATTTTTTTCGGGTACAAAACAGAATAGGCTTTCTTTATCTCCTTATAGCTTTTAATGCAAATAGTATATTTCCTAAGCAAAACCAGCCCTTTTGGGGCGAAAATTCGGAAAAATAGTGGTACTTCCTTTCAATGACTTTAGTGTCTAGATTCTTCACAGTTCAACGATTATGTTCGCGAAGTTGAGACAGCAATAGGCTGGTGTTATTCTGGCTAAAAGTCAAAAAAGGACAAGGGTGGCCTTCGAAAGGCCGTCAAAGAAACGAGGAGCAGGAATAATGAATTCATCGTCATAATGCGAAGATCGGAGGTACCAGTTGTTGTTCACCAAACTCAATGAAACTCTCGAAGTAATCAAGAATAGCGAATGAAGAAACATAATGGTATCGCTAAACTCTTCGGAAGAACGCTCAAAGTTTATACGGCAAGCAGCGGCGACCTCCTCAACGCCGCGCAGGAGGAGCATCGCACCCCTCCAGAACGAACAAGCTCCCAACGTTTGTTCATATAAGGTCGCTGTTATCCATGATAAGGTCGCTGTTACCAGAGGCTACCGCAGCGTTGCCACGACGTACTACGTAATACGAATTATCAACTTTAGCATTTTCATATGATTATTTACACAGCCTTATCTAATACGTATTGAACGATTATTCGTAATGAAATATTTTCAAAAAGCTTACAGCAGTAATATAATAATAACATGATAGAAAATTATTTCTTATTTGCGCCGACAGGACTTATTCGGATCAGATGATCAAACTTCAAAACGTTACTGCTTCATGATAATCCACACTAAGTGTATGATCATGCCTTACTTGACTTCGCCGAATAATTATATATATATATACACTGTGTATACATTTGAAGATGAGATTATGGCGTCTGCTAAAATGTATGCGTTTCGATGTTCTGCTGCGTCATCTAGTCGATGCGTTCGGCTGCAGTGTATTATCATATAATTCGACTGTATGAAAATCATGATGATAAGAGACGTTCCTTAAAACAGAATTAAAGATTAGATAAATTTATTGAAACCCTGATCTGTAAATGAAAACAAAGTAACTGACGTTTTAAAAAGTTAGCTTTAAAAATATAGACAGATAGATAGTTAGTAAAAATATAGACGTAATCATTTTAGGTAACATGATTTATTGTTTCGAGATTTTCTAATACTTATGATGACCAAAATTGTCCATCCACCATGTTTTGAAACTAGACATTTTTAATTCTTGCCTAGTAATTGTTTCAATATTTGCCTCCACTTACATATGATATATTGTGAAAATCGATGTAGCTATTTTATGTCACTAACAAGAGTTGACAAAAAAAAAAAAGGGTTGACGGCGAATTATTTTTTAGTATCGTATGTTTGCCTCGGAACACAATCAACTAAATAAATCCATACCCGTGCCTGCATGAGTTTTCGAAAAGTACGACAATCGTACGACGCTTAAGAGTCTACGTAACCCAGTTACAGTATATACAATGGCGCTGTATTGCCAATATTTTATAGATTAACTACTAGATACATGGTTCATCACTTAATACTAAGATCACGATCGGAACAGCCTAAGTAACACGTATGAGCTTTATGTCTATCATAGAAGAGAAACAGATCTTTTTCGAATACGTGCAATCGGAGCTAGGAGATACATCTGTATATTTATAGATTACTTAGATTAGATAAATTTTATTTCATTTATCGAGGCTGATTTTTGCAATTCATTGTACGAATCACTAGATGATAACCTTTCGACCTCAACTAGTGAAGCACATCCGCTACCCACAATATTAGCTTATTAGCAGAAGCCTATTTGTTAAAAACAGAACACAGTGTAAACGTACAGCCCTCTTTCGTACATAACAAAGATGGTATGAACAGATCGCTAAGAGGATATAGTGTCAAAATGAGTAGTACGCATCTCTATCTATTAAATGTCCTAGAAACTGCTAGAAGATACGTGTATTCAGATGAAAGAGCAAAAAAAAAACGTATTTTTTTATATTGCGACGCATATAAGTATTGGCTATTCCGAGAAATACAAGGGGTTAAAACAAATCGGCTATAAAAATCCTACTATTCGATAGAAATGTCTATTTTTAACTTGGTTAACAATGCTTTGTTATTATTAGGGTAAGGCAGCAATATAACCAAACAGGTAACAGACGAGTTTAAGGCAATCTGTCTTATTATTCTGTCTGTAATTTTATTTCGTTGACACGTATATTCTTATTTGTAACACATTATACAAGATGAAAAACGAATTCACTGAAGGCCAGAATAGTTATGTCATTAGCGCACGTCATCGCTATCTTCATCATCTCGAAGATCGATGTCAACAAAGCCCGATTCATCATCACGTATTGCTGTGTATCGGACGACAATGTCCGACTTACTGGCGTCGACTTCATTACTACTACTATAGCGTGCACTCCCTCCGGTCATCAGGTAGGTGGTAAAACCTTCGTTCGGCCGAATGAGCCCAGGAACGATAAACATCAGAGCTACTAGAACGGTTAATAAGGGAAAGCACATAAAAACGTGATGAACGTAGAGCGTCAATGCTACCCCCCAGATAAAGACAAAACTCCAGAGTACAACGAGACCTTGAATACTCAACAAAAGCTGGAACGTTGGTGACATTGCACGCAGAAACATATCGTAGCTTTGCGGTTTTTCAGCTACGATTTGTCAGAACCATCGAGCCATAAACACCAATTCGTCAATTATCAACCTTAATTCTTCCGTAGACAGGTGCACCAGCAGGCAGGGGACGAAGTTTTAAGGCCAAATGGTACTTCGATGGCAACAGCTATTGAATTATCTAGAAGAGCGAAGATGATTGCTTAAGCACCACCTTTACGGCCGGCGTACAGCATTCTCTTTGTTGTTATCTAATGGTGCACCTTCAAAAATACATTGATTCATATACGCCGACTGTATTCATCCAAAATGTAATCGTTGAGGCTCGCTGAATTCGAACGGAAACGTCTTCTTGAACGAAGCAGGCGAAATAGAACGTGATGTATATTTCCTAGTTGTAGTTCCTGATGGTTGCACTTTTCAATGTGAAGATAACAGAGTAGATTTACGGTTCCAATGGTGGCACAGGCTTGATGGGCCCTATTTTGAATAACTACACAGATGATTGTCTTTCTTTCTTTTTTTTTTTTTCTATTCCTTCATATTTTATCGGTTTAACGTACTAGTGAAAACACTCATTGGCGAGGCCACTGACTCCTGCCTCCGTTAGCCGACATGCCTTCGTCATTCGTACCTATACGAGCATAGTTTCGAAATTTCGCTTTTGCTGTGCACAGAAAGCCGTACATTTGTCGCCCCGACCAGCATCAACATTCAAGCGAAGTCAGTGCAGCGAAACGACACATTCGAAGGGGCGCGTCTGTTTTGCAAGACTATCACCACAACTGCCGTTCGAACATATAGATAAACAAATCAACCGTTGCTGTATAGCACTCGAGTTGAAGAGATCGTCACTGTTGTTGGCATGGCCTGTACTCGCTTTCCTGTCCCACTGCCTGTTTATACTCTCCAGCGCTTTTAATTCTGCGCATCATCAGGCAGGCGGTGGCAGCCCCGCGTATCAAACGAAACCAATAACAGCCACGGTTATTCTATCTTCCAGCCACTTGTTTCAATGCAACCCTTCATCAGTCAGCGGTATGAAAGAGCAACGAGGTGACCGTCATTCCTGGTAAGCTTATGGCTATGTGTTCTGCTCTCCAGAACAAACTCTTCTTGAATACGACTTCGAGTGTGAGGAGTCTGTGGCAAAGTACCAGAGCCATATGAAGAGCACCGAAGCCAGCGCCGTCACAGACTCTGTACAGCATATACACATACACATCGACTTTATCTTTACCTAAAATCCATGATGAGTAAGTATTATTATGGGATAGGCCCTCAGTGTCTTTAGTAGTCGATGAGTTCGGCGTTTGTGATTCCAGCCACTGTACAACAGCGGCGGCGGCGGCGGCGGCAGGCACACCGCCGAGAACGCCAGCTGTGCGCGGTCTTTAGCTATAGGTTTCCTTCCTCTCATAATATTGCTGTGCCGGTGGCTGTTAAATGGCCGTAGGTAGTAGGGACGGATTCGTCGTACTCGACGCTGTGGCTCTTTCTTTCGCGCATTGGCCGTCTGGCAGGAGCGATACTGGCGAAATGGTCTGACTTTCGTTTAGCTTGTCTCGGCTAGCCCGTTTTTCAGTTGCTAGATGGATAGTCACCAAATGAAAAAACCTTTTCTGCGGAACCAAAAAGCTAGTGCGAACTGGGCTTTTAAAGTAATCGTTTGCTACTTTTACTAAACCCTAGACCCTGTCTTTTGTTACATTGGACAGACATTCTGATATGAAATCGAACCCACGCTCACAGATGCATTTAACTTTAGCAGCTGTTTTAAGTTAGACAATTCGCTCCATGCTGGGTTCATGCTAGCAAATGGCTCGTAGTAAGTAAATGAAAGCTGCTCTACCACATAATAAAAAAAGAAACTGACAATACCAGTTAATGAACGCGAGTAATAGCTCCCAGCTCAATAACACGATGCCCAGAATATCGTGCTAACATTAGTGATATATTTTATTGTGGTATATTAATTAAGTCGTCTTGGTTGGACCGTTTGGCATATATAAGAGACATATCTAAAAAAAAAATATTAAACATTTAAAAAATCCAAAATAATTTGACTGGAAAGTTACTGCAATGGTGGGTAGTGACATAACGAGTAACTTTGGATTTGCAATCTTTGTCCATATCCGATAAGTTTGGACGTCGGTCCATCAACTGAGCTAAGAATGGATAATATATGCATTCATAATACATAAATATGAAATGAAGAAACATTGGACACCTCATCGGCGTTTATCAATGATACAGTTATTGATGATTGTACATTGTGCTAGTAATAGGTGTTTTAGTGTGGAACGCTTTGAGGAAAGCTCAAAAGACTTTTTCTGTTTCTCTTCGAGCGTCCTTCTATTCCTTGATCTATAAAATCTTACCTATATAATAATTAGGAAGATTATTTTTATTATTATATTTTAGGAAGATTATTAATTATTATTATTAATTAATAATTATTAATAATAATTACTCATATACATATTATTGCGCAGTGTGCCGATTCTTTTTGCTTTAAGCATACAAAAAAATCCCATACGCTTATGGGATTTGCCTTAAAAGTATGTGTTATTTACATTTTTCTATGGGATTCTATTCATTTCGAAATAAAGCGCGCTGATTTCAAGCAGCTAAAGGACTCTAAATAAACAAATACGCTTCAGAGTTTTTGATATTCTGAATAGGTTTGTTTCGGGCTTTCAACTAGATTAATGTCACAAGTGGCAGAACCAGTGTCGCAGTGATTAGATGATGAGACCCTAGAAGTTTTTCTATAATTTTTCTTTATAGAAAGAGACAACTGGTACGCATACACGAACAAACCGGCACGGAACGCTTTATTTCATACCACAAAAAACATTGAGCATTCTTAGTTAATTTTTTCCTAAAGTTCCGTCACTTTTATGACTAGGAAACACTGACTACGATAATAGAAAACGACAAACTCGTACGTATATGGAAAAAAAAAAACTTTTTCCATTGGCGTATATTTGTTTTAAATTGCTTAATCATTGCAGTGCATCTATATTTAGAGTTTTATGCCCGGTAGCGCCGTTAGGCATCCCGTCAGACGGTTAACTGGCTTCCGAAACGAACCTAGGTTTGAATATAGACCATAACGTGTCCCTATGAGTAGAGGGCAAACACGTGTAAATGCCTACCTTCGTGTAAACTGATGACGAATATAAAATAAAGCAGTGAAAAGGATAGCTGTTGGGCAGCTGATTTACAACATTCTATAATGCTGCTACACTCCTTTAGTATGCTGCCTATCAGTTCGCCTATGAAAGGGGTACAAGAGAGAGACCATCGATTCATGGAATGTCGTCGGTGGCTAGGCAACACTTTCTCGGGACTCTGCTTGACACTGAGTACAGATATAACGTGTCGACGATGCTGTATAAGAGCAAGTGTAAGTTGTCGCTCACGATATGTACACGTGCATAGAGGATTTCTTACTATTAGGCTCTTCCAATATTTGGCTAATTTCTAACATTTCTAATTTCTAATAAATATAAAATTGAAACATAGGTGATTTTGTGTCCTTTCCCCTTTTACTGCCTCTCCGCTCGGGTCTTCCCTGTCGCTGTCTCTCGTCCAAACGTTCGTTGTAATTCCGCAATGGCGTGAACTGACTATTGTACCGGGTTCAGGTTCCAAGGATGAGCGTTCCGGGTGAGGAAAGTGCATTTTCGACAATTCGTCCATTTCAGCTTTAACCGAGCTCAAAAACTACAGAAGCAGCCCAAGGAAGGGTTGTTATTAGACTTCTGCCAAGGTCAAAGATAAGATCTTAGATCAAGGAAGTGCACTCCGCCTCGATCGGCCATTTGACCACAAATGAAAAGCAAGCTGTTAATTAGTGAAGAAAATCAGCCAAAAGAACTAAACTATTGTCAGGCATCTTGCATGTATGTGATTTCTGGACTGGATGAGGCGCATAGGAAGACAAGATTTGCCATGTGCCCTCGGTATTACGCCCGGCGTCAGGGGACACGCCACAATGATACGTTGCTCTCTAGATTTATCACCTGTGATAAAAAGTGGATTTTTACTTCGACATAAGGCAGAGAAACAAATGACTAGCTCTGAAGAATACGCCTGAGTCCAGAGTAAGGCCGGACCTTCATTTTAAGAAGATCATCATTTGAATTTGGTGAAACTAGAGAAATCTCCTACGCTGAGGAATGTTTAGAACGCAAGGATCTATATAGAGCCTAATCACATCCTGTAAACGAGGCTATCCAAGAAAAAATTCCCATCAAGTAGGCAGTCATCTTTCTTCACAACAGTACCAAGCCGCGCATACTAAATATTGTAAAAATCGCTCAGCAAGAGTTTGAACGGGAGATTGTTTTGCAGTCATTGTACAGCTTAGACGTCGCTCCAACGGATTACCATCTACTCTGCTCACAGGCAAAGAAAATTTTTAACCGTTGATTTAAATGTAAAAAAAGCCAAAACCTGGCTAGAAGGGTTCTTCAACCCCAGAGCTAAAAACCTGTGGCGAAGCGGAATAACTAAATTGGCTGCGAAATTGTATAATATTGAGGAGGAAGACGGCAAATATATAATAAATTAATTGGTCACTGGGAATCGGGTGAAACGCTACTTTTTTGTTAGATGAAAAATCGAAAATACTTGTGCTTCAACCGAGTAAATCCCTTAAAAGTACTTACTTAAGTTTGCCTATTTCGCCTGCTGCACATCCTAGCATAGATATACGCTATCGTATATCTACTCGATGAACAACATCGAGTAACTGCCGTACGTGAGCTTTTTAAGGAGAACTGTTATATACTGTACTTCTTTCGGTAATTAACAGCTTCCTTTTACTAATTTTCACAAAGATTTAAGCTAAAAGAAACACGGTGTTATCGAATGCTACAGTAGCACATGGCTAAGGCAGGTTAAATTCGAGCAAATGCGAGGTCTCGGGTTCAGCTCTTCCCTAAGACTCGGAGGTTTTTCAAGCAAGGAGATAACCAGCTTAGCGTCCAGTGACGTTTAGCCAAGGTCGATGCCATTATATTACCCATCCGTACGATCCTTAAGTTGGTCTCCACCATGCCGGTTGACTTCACTGGTATCGACCATAACCTCTCTGTAAAATATAGAGCTAAGTCTTATAATATCAAATTTGATGGCAACCCTACCTACAAAGATAGAGTTTTAGATATTTGTAGATTCAAAGCTTCATCGTTTAAACGGTTAGCAAACATATTGGTGTATTGATTCAATATATTATTGAAGATAACTGGCGTTAGCAAAGTCAATTCTAATTAACTAACCAAAAGCGGCCATTGTATTTAACTATAATTTAAGTTCTAGATTTTAAACTGTAAAACCTGTAAAAAAAAAAAGCTGGTGTCCTTTAGAATATTCCTCATACTACATCCATCCATGTGGTGTTACAGCCGCCGCAAGTGCGCAATTAAACTGATCGGATTTTAGTTTTTTCCACTAGAAAAACACGTTATACTAGGTACCAAGACAAATCGTGCATCGGGCCCATGTTAGCTGTTTCGGAATACCTATCGTTTCGAGGCACGATATATGTGTGTCTGTCCTTTACGAAGAATTAAAAAAAAAAAAATATTTAAATTTACACGATTTTCACGTTCAGTCGTTTGAGGGTAACTAACTTTGAGTATCGCTTCAGACGACTGGCTCATCCCACTACGAAACAAAACGCGTATCTACACCTAATTTAGGACACAGACCACCTTAAATGTCTCTATACATCGTAGCTATAGCTATATCGTACTCTATACCCGAACGAGAGTCTATCATTCAAAGGGGACATGACACGTTTTTCGACAAAAACAAGACTAAGCACACCAACAAACGCATTGTACGAATCACAAAGTATGTGTGCTGATATGGTTAAGCAATCGCGACGTTTCGTCGTTGTTTATACCGATGGCGGCGGCGGCGGCAGCAAGCAAGACGAAAAACTATTGCAATAATAACTAATAATCATCTGACTCAACCTTTATTAACAGAAAAAATGTAGTAATGCCCTGTTCGATCGATAACAAAGGCTTCAGCTTCCTATTGACACAATTCAATTTCAGGACGAATAGATATTAAGTAAAGAAATAACGTTTATCGTAAGAGAACGATTAAGTGTAGGCCATACAATAAAAAGGCACTGGCCTGTTTCGACCACAGCTGATGAAGTTCCAAGATAAGCCAATACGGCTGAGGCCATGTACAGAGAATCGCGAAGTTTAGGTGGTTGGCGCTCTCCGCATAATACCTGCTGTAATAGAACATACCCAACAAGTCGCAAGACGTTACTCAGCAAAAAGCAAACATGTATAGCTTGCTTTATCTATATTATAAAACTATCCTCGACTGTTTTTGCTGGCAGCCGAATTCGAAGATATCCCTAAGTGTTTCTCGGAATCTAGACGGTAATCCAATGTAATGCAACTATCCATATAAGTAAATTCATATGCTCCATTTTGCCAGTTGACTACCAAAACACGCCCACCGAAAACCTCCTTTACAGAACCACATATCATTTTTTCAGGTCTACGCTTAGAATATATAACGAGCCCTAGCTAAATCTGCTGTCGGCAAATAATGTCGTTCTGAAGCAGTCAATGACGTATGCGTATTCTAACAAGTTTCTTAGCTGCTTATACATGCCTACTTGGTATCTGGTTATTCCACATTGAAATTCAGAAGTTCATAACTTTCAGGTTTCATACACCAGTCGTTCGGCGGCGGCGGCGGCGGCGGCTGCGGAGGCTCTCAGTTATATTCGTATCAATTTTCTTGTTACTGGACAATATAAAATCTTCGAACCATTTCGGTTTATTGCCATGGGAACGACGACGAGATTGACGACTGGGGGAATACGACGGCTGACTTTTTTCATTAGGATCCCCCCGACGGCGACAAAAACCGAGTTCTTGGTTCGCATCCTTCGACCGTGGGGTTTTAGTCGCTTTTCCACGGCATGGTATGGTTAAAGACCCCCATTCATGTTCGTGTAGATTATTATTGTTACTACTTAAAGTGAGAGACAGATCTGATTTGCCAGTTACTGCAGTTTCGAAAACGATCTCTTTTTTAGCAGATGCCCAAGCATCGTTTAACATATGTTCTATATTAATACTCCCATCAATGTCCTTTGACAAGCTTGAGAAGTTAGTATGAAGCTGTTCGCAGGGTTCTGTGCAAACGAACGATCCAGAAGTATACGATCCCTGATGTGGCCTGCCGACATGCCGGGCTTTGGACTACTAAACACAAGAAATTCGGCTCTCCATTTATCGTAGGTTTTCAGATGTATGCCATGGTGCACGTGCCATAACCTGGCTCTCCCCTTAAATTTCGATAGGATAACACTCCTATTTTCTGACCACTGGCCAACATCCCTTGAGATTTCTAGTCGACGTATCCATTCTTCTGCACTCAGCCCACTATCGCTACTGTCAGAGAACTCTTCAAGTTGAGCAGCTGTGTCCGCCATCGGTTCCCGTAGATGATTTAGTATACCCAGAACTGTTTGTAGATCTGTACTAAACAGTTCCGATTGAATCAAGACAGGAGCTGTCCATTTGGCTCCAGCGCTCCCATCCGCATTTGTGACAGCTTTTTCCTTCATGGTACCAAACAGTAACACTTGCCGCTTCTTCTTTTGAATCTAACAGATCGTACCAACTATACATGTAGCAGAGCAAGCGAACACTTACAATAATCACTTAACCACAGTTATACTTAATACGGTGATCTTTAGATCGTGTTGAAAACCGCTATTAAGCGAGCAAATGTCGCGCGTAGAAATACTTCCATTTCACACATACACGCACTAGCAAGATAGATTACTTGTCAGAAACCAAGGCAAGTTAATTACTGATGGCTTCAATGCTTGTCCGTCAGTTTTGCATAAGACGCGCTCTTGCAAAAATAATTAACGAAAATCTTTTTTTACAAGAATTAACACCGCCGCAGTTATTCGTATGCAAGCCACAAATCTGCCACAAAACACGTCACCTCCCCAAAGGTGGGCGAGCGCGAAAGGCGCCAAATGTGAGAGGGTGCAGACCAGCCCACTAAAGATGCAGACGCAAATCGCGCGCCCACAAGCTGACCTATTGAATGTCACAGGCGTAACATGGTATCTCGCAAGCTTAACTGCTAATGCTTAATGTATAAAGTTAGTAGATACAGGATAAGTACTTGAATTAAACATTTCGGCCTGGAAATAAAGATTCCTATAACGAATTTTGTGTGAGCATTTTGTATGTGCAATGATTTAACTTGCGTTTATACAAATTGCATCCATGGGAATGACAGAATGAGTTTCAAACAAAGATGCGTATTCATCTATAGCAACGTCCAAGACTCAGTGTATGGCGTATTGTCATCACCTGGCGACCTAAAACTAATTAAGAAATATTTGAGTTTCATGCCATACAGGCAGTCGAACCTATGAAGCAACCCAGGTCGATGGTCGGCCAAAAATCTTTATCTAATCAAGATATGGGCGGGAGATATTTTATATAGCCACCTACGTTTAAGAAAATGTACGCACTTAATAAAAGCCCCTAATTGTTAACCTTAGCGAGTATCGATTCACTAATAACGAAATTTTCTTTTTTTTTCGTCTTTCAACGAGAAGAAAGTGTTTCTGGACCGTTAGGACGATTGTAGATTGACTTCGATTGGTTCTTCCGCTGAACCCCCGCTCTTCACAACAATATTCTATTATATTACCACGTTTTACTATCTCTCTCTCTCTCTCTCTCTGTCTGAATAAGGGTAGCTCGAAAGTGACTTTTATTTTCTGTCACAAACAAGGTCACTGGATGTTTTCCGTTAGTTCAGACGTATCACTTCCGTGTCTTGCCTAAAAAAAGGCCTAATATTTATGGCCCTGTGGAAACAAGTTTGAACAGTTAATTTTAGATAATGTTTATGCTCAAGTTTAAATTTTGATTTGTTACAAAGCTATAATTCGAGAGCGACGCATAGGCTCTCCTAGCGACCAGTGAAGATTGCTGAGAAGTCCTACCTTAATCATACCGAGCCCAAAGCTCGTTTACCCACTAGGTGTAACTGTGTGACGTACTCACTATATTTACGTTACCAAAAAAAAACAGAACGGATACAAATAAAAGCCTGTAATAACACCACAAGCACGCATACGGGCTATGTATGTACGAAATTATGTGTGCCGTGAGCTGTGCCAATCAAGGTGTATGTGTCTTCCTTTTTCGGCTTTACTCGGACATTTGTAACGCGTCGTTGTTTCAGCCTAGTTCAAGGTCTTTCGAGCTAAAGATAGTCTAAATGGTAAGGAGTCATTTAAATTTCCTGAGAGTATTTTTTTCTGCTGTTATTTTGATTATCGCGTCTGTGATGACGTTTAGGACCCGCAGCAGATATATATTTATGTACAGCCCCCGGCAACTTGCGGATAGCGCACCATTAGGTTGTCATTACTGATCGCTCATGCCTGAATGACCCACAGCTGCTTTGTTTTAAGTAGCATTCCAGCGTTAGATTTAAACGAGACGCTGATGGCAGATCACATAAACATATACTTTTTTTTACTCAGATGTGCAATAAAGATTTTTAATCTTATTCTGTCCTATTTCTATATAAATGTGTACGGGTGCGAAGGATCCCATTCTGCTTCGACAAATATTTTACAATGTGTGACAGCCAACTTACATTGTATATCGTACGCTTCTGTCTGTGTTTATAAGCAAAGGAGCTTAAGTTTTTGAGCGAATTACAAATAAATCTGCGCTATAAGGCAGTGAAAGATGAAGTTGGATATTTGGATATGGTATTAACTTAAGAGCACATTTTCTCAATAGCCTCCACTCTATCTAGCAATAAGTATCTGTTATACAATATGGCATCAAGTTTAATTTGAGTACGGCATTTTCAAGCGCAGCGATCGCTTTACAAGATAACCTTCAAGCCTTGTCTAAACGAGAGATCCATGAATAAAAAATTTCTTTCTTTTAACCGGTTTTTTTTTCATGAAAGCTGGTTATGTTTTGGCCTTAATAGGCTTATACTACACTTGGTTATTTGAGTCGTTAGTTGTTGCTTTCAGCCATCACGGAATGAACGGAATGATCAAATACAGCATGAAGTTTCAGATTTGAAAATAGGTCTGCTACCTATCGTTTGTTAAAAGCCTGTACTCGGTCCGCTGACTTAATCTGTTAGGCCGAGCCTCAAGAAAACTATTGCAGGTGAATACTGTTCATCCAGACGACGCTTTGGATTACTATAAAATCCTGGCTTTATTCAAAGGGTCTATCGTAGTAATAAACACATCATTATATCATACGAGGCTGTTTTAGGTTTCGCCTATTTTCCAGACACTTTTATTTTGTTACTCTCTGTTTAGTTGACGATCAAATGTTGCATGCGTCGGAAGGCTATAGAGACGATGTCACCGTTGTTCTAGATTACAATGTTTTGTCTCTTGCTAGGTGGGTAGGTCGGCTTCCAAAAAGAGTATTCCCGTTTTTCCTATTCGCGTTTCAGTGCAATCAAAAGCTGCCAAAACAGCCCGGGATAACTGCAGCGTGTACGATAGGAATTCTATAGTTGAGAACATTAAAAGTGGCTCACTAACTTCGACCTACTGAGCTATCCCTCGACCTGGTCGACTTTTGAAGACAAAAGAGGATTGTTTTGAATTAATTTTAAGGTGGATAGTTGTTCCATAGGTTTTTACCTTCTGTAAGGCCCTCATCGTACGGGAAATAATTTTATTTGGGTAGTTCTGACACTTCCTTGACATCGGCAACACGCTTATGTAGCAAACCTAATGGCTTCAGTCATCACAAATTGCGCACTTTTGCTTATCAGCGATTTCTGCACTTTCACTGTTTAATATTAATCAGTACCTAACTAACCTTCAAGATAGTCACCGACCCCAGAAAGTTGACAACTCCATTTAAACTCGTTACTATCTAACGTTTCGTTTTATGACTCAGTTCAACATCCAGGCTAGTTCTTGATAGTCTCAGTTTACTATAAGCAGGTGAAGCTGCGCTGTTCTGAGTACGTTATTGCAGGTTGTGTGCATACGAAACCGAACGCGTCTACTTCGGGGCTCCGACGATGGTGTACAAATAAGATTCGAGAGCCGAAAGCTGTGTGGCACTCGAAGGTTCTGGGTCGACCAAAGGAACGTAATTAATATGTATTTGGGTATCTATAGTATAAATTTTATTTTTGGAATACGAAATCGTTCCTCAGGCGTGTTTCAGCAGTATGACTTGAAGTTACTCCGTTTTATCCGGAGATAAGAGCGCGCTATGAGGGAAACAATCTTACCTCTGAAGCCGTGGGCTACAAACATTAATTTACTCATCAGATGTTTAATTTGCAGTTATAAGTTGCGCGTGAATCAATATGGCCAAAACGAAAATAAGAAGGCAAAAACCAAAGGTAGAATCTGATCTTTCTTCCGATATACTCATTTCAGAAAAAAATGTTGATTTTAATTAGCTAGTAGTAATACGTCAAAGAAAAAAAGTTTTTACTTAGCCTCCATTTGTTGCGCCTGATTTGTCCGTAGACAATTACCCACTATAATAGGCGACCCAAAAATACCTGCGAAAAGCTAATTGTAGCTAAATGAAAGGTGAACTAGAAAGGCACGAGTCTGTGTATTGGGAGACCCGAAATCGTATCTCCGCTTTTTCTTTGTTGCTTTATTACCGTCAGGTAACTACTGAACATTTCGATGCAATTGATTTTTTTGCAAAAAACATGATTTCGTATTAGCTCGTGTCTGCTGTGCGTTTCGAGCTAGACCGTAATCAGACAGAGAATAGTCAACTTATCCCAATTGGGATTGACTAAAATCTCTTGTCTCAAAAACTAGCCAGCTTTCACGGTTCGTCTACCTATTTCGTCCGATATTCAGTTGCTGTGCTACCACCTGGAAACAATGTCTCTCAGAATTTCTTCCGCTTTATG